CGTGAAAAAAACGCCTCGGTAGGCTTATGGCGTTTAAAAAACGCGGCGCTCCCATTGAAAACAATTGAAAACATACGCCAGGCGTGTGGAAAAACGCTTTGGTGGACACACGGCCTAAGTCCTGCTTCACTGGCATCACTGCAGAAGGAAAAGCCAATGATGATAAGGTCATGAGACTGTGTTTAGCAGGTTATAATGTGATTATCAGATGGAACCAACTCTTTAAGGAATCCAAAAACAGCAACTTGGTAAACAAACATGGTTTTCGTTTCTGTTCCACGAAAGTTGAGCCAGAATATTCAAGTAAAAGCATCAGAACAGATCACACTTCTTAAGACTTAGCGCCCAAACTTTATGTAAGCAGCCTTGCTTGCCACCATGGATGTATAATTCAAAACCTGTTCCGGAATGTGAGTTTCTTGGCTGAATAGGAGTTTCAGTTCAGAAGAGAATACTTTCCACATCGGAATAATATAAATAAAAGTTCATATGAAATTTAAAACTAGAGTCATGACTAGAAAGAACAAAGAAACGGCAATGGCATCATCAGGTTTTTCATTATGCGTAAATAATGTGCTTGAATGAGATCCGAGAGAATTACATTAACAGATTCATGTAAATCCAAACATCACGTCTGACTGTGGGGAGCCGTACTGTACAGTACATTTCAAACGAGTCACAGTTGAATCCGATCATATACCATGGTACTAGCATTTTCATTAGGGATGCACCGAATATTCGGCCGCCGAAAATTTTCGGCCGAAAATGGCCCAAAAGTGCATTTTCGGTTTTCGGCCGAAAGACTTTTATCACCGAAACAATACGGCCGAAATGTTGTGATGACGCAAACAGAAACCGCAACCTGCACGTGCTTGTCTGAAGCAACAGTCTGCGGTGTGGAAGTATTTCAGTGTATCTGAACCCGCGAGGAGATGGAAACCTTGTTTATCCACCTTTATCTGCTCTAAACAATGCGTGCCGCCATGACGACGAATCCGGTTGCGAGCGGGTCAAGAGCGGTGCGCGCGCTGTCTGTGGAGACTCGCGCTGCGGAGGCAGGCGAAAGTATAAACAAGGCAGCGCGAGTCTCCACAGACAGCGCGCGCACCGCTTTTGACCCGCTCACAACCGGATTCGTCGTCATGGCGGCACGCATTGTTTAGAGCAGATAAAGGTGGATGAAACAATTAAAAATTATAAATAAGACTCGCGCTGCAGAGGCAGGCAAAAATAAACAAGGCAGCGCGAGTCTCCACAAACAGCGCGTGCATCGAGGCGTTTATACTTCGTTGCGCGTCTTGTTGTACTATTCCTTGAAACGACAGGGGACGACTCAAGTAGCTGTCCTCTAACCAATCAGGAATCGGTGAGAAGAAGACAGATAAATACATGACAATGTTTATTTTTTAGTATTCCACCACCAATACAAAAATAATCATGTAAAACCCAGTAAACCCTGAGATTATTGCTTGTTACATTACAAAAAAAATATGTATATGGGAACATGTATGTATAGAACTAAATTAATGCTCTCTTAAATATTTTCTACATTCACTAAACATGTTTCATTAAGTTTCATGTACATTTGTATTAAACATGGACCATTGTTCATTTAAAAAGGCTTTTTATGCTATTGTATGATACATTTTTAAAATGTAACTAATTTAGATACGTGCAAACTGGGTGCTAGTGTGATGAGAAGTTTGCGCTCGGCTTTGTTTTTGAGAGAACATTTCATTTTAAAACCTTTCTGCAGGCCAGTAGATTATTATTTAGTGTACACATGAGTGGGGTCAAGTTAAACATTTTAGTTTGAATTTTATTTTATACTGTGCATTGTGCTAAATAAATATTTGCATATATTGTAATTGATTTATTCTTTGAAAATGTTATAATAATTTATGCAATTGCAATGCCTTGATTTTAGTAAAGTTTGTACACAGTCATAGCCATAAATGCAATGATACTAATAATTGGCATAATTTATTTCGGTGTTTCGGTTTTCGGCCTTGGTTTCCTCTTTTTCGGTTTTCGGTTTCGGCCAAGAATTTTCATTTCGGTGCATCCCTAATTTTCATAACATGCTTTTTACTTAGTACTACAAGGTATTTAGAATACAAAAAAGTACATTGGTTCTGGAATAAGGTGACATATAAATGAAATGTTTATAAGTGAATAGAATATGTATAAACTGTAAGAAAGCTGGAGTATCAAAATACAGCTAGACCATGAAACGGTCCATGAACACTTAGCATAGATTTGATGTTGAAATTCAGTGTTGTAGTAGTCGAGACTCGGACTCGTCTCGGACTCGGTCTCGAGACCATATTTTAATGGTCTTGGTCTTGTCATGGACTCGTGTGCATTTGGACTCGGAATTGACTCGTACTCGAACATTTTTTTTTTTTAGGACTCGGAATTAGTCCACCCTCGAGTTCAATTAAAAATATTTTTCATGATTATTAATGTATGTTAATAAAATATTTCTTTAAATTGATTGACACGCCAAGTGATTGGTGATTTTCTAGTGCGCAACTGCGCATGACAAATTGTAATAAAATTACTTTTAACACCACCTACTATGTGGCCTTTTTACCCTAAACTGATCATATTTTTTTAACTCTAAGTAAATTCAGTAAAAAAAAAAAAAAGATTTCTCTAAGTAAATAAAAGTAAATTAGGTAATCAACCCTCACTGGTCTCGGACTCGACTCGGACTCGACTGTCTCTGGTCTCGGTCTCGACTCTCTCTGGTCTCGGTCTCGACTCTCTCTGGTCTCGGACTCGACTCTCTATGGACTCGGTCTCGACTCGGACTCGACTCTCTCTGGTCTCGGTGTCGACTCGGACTCGAGTGAGGTGGTCTCGACTACAACACTGTTGAAATTAGATAAGGGGCTAATCCAGGCAGTAGAAGTGAGGAGAAGCCAAACCACCATAGGCCAGCTATGATCTCATGTGTACATCGCTCCCGCAGATTTTCAAGATTACAGGTCTCCCAAAGATCGCTGAGCCACGTCTGCTAAGGTTTGATCACCGTTGCAGGAATTACAGAGCTACACTACAGGGGATAATAACGGACTGATTTACTCCAGTTGGAGGGCGATGCATGTTTTTCCGTTGCCAGCGGGTGCTAAGAAATCCATGCTGTGGCTTGAACTTGGCAAGCTTTGTGAAGTCAATTCATCTATTATGATTACAGGAGCACTGCTACCCATCAGCCCCCCTCAATCTCCCCCTGTTGTCAGTATTGTCTTCCATAGGGCACAACCGTGCTGCACACTAGTCTAGTGTTTGGTTAACATGCAATGTGAGTCACCTAAGTTGAGTTGGTTGAAACTAAATTAATATTTGGTATGTTTTAGTTTACCTCAAGGGCTTCCAAGATGAAGGTGTCTTTGTTTCCACAGTATTTTCAATTTTGATTTTTTAGGTCAAACCGTTCGTATAATGGAGGTCTATGGTCACCACCTCAAAGAGCATGCACAGAGAAGTCCAGATTAAACACGATTTAATGACTCGTAAACGTAAGTACACATTGATGGCCTAAGACACGAAACGAGCGGTTTGTGTGAGAAAACAAACAGTATTTATATCGTTTTTACCTCTTGTAACCACAGCCACATCCAAGTGATCTGAAGGCACGGTCGCTTCGGTCTGCGTAAGCACCAGAAAGCGGCGGAAGTGATCTCTTGCGCGGTTGCGAAAAAAAAATCAACGTTGTCTGTTGATATATCGAATTTCCTGCAATTTCCTGTATATCTAAATATGTTTAGATCTTCACAGTGAAGGGTAACACTTCTGAAATCTCTGTGTAAACAATGAGTGACGTACACACGCGAGAGATCACTTCCAGCGCTTGCACAGACAAAAGCGCCCTCAGACTTGGATGTGGCTGTGGTTACAAGAGGTAAAAACGATATAAATATTGTTCGTTTTCTCACACAAACCGCTCATTTCGTGTCTTAGGCCATCAATGTGTACTTACATTTACGAGTCATTAAATCATGTTTAATTTGGACTTCTCTGTGCATGCTCTTTGAGGTGGTGACCATAGACCTCCATTATATGACTGACAGACAAGAACGGTTTGACCTAAAAATATCAAAATTGAAAATACTGCGGAAACAAAGACACCTTCATCTTGGATGCCCTTGAGGTAAGATAAAACATACCAAACATTAATTTCAAAGTGAACTATCCCTCTAAAGGACTAGTTCACCCAAAAGTGAAAATTCGGTCATTAATTACTCACCCTCGTGTTGTTTCAAACCTGTAAGACTTTCGTTCATCTTCCAAACACAAATGAAGATCTTTTTGATGAAATCTGAGAGCTTCGTGTTCCTCCATTGATGGCACTTTCCATTTGACTCCAAAATGTGATTTTATTAAAAAGATCTTCATTTGTGTTCTGAAGATGAATGAATGACTTATGGGTTTGAAATAAAATGAGGGTTTGTAATTAATGACACAATTTTCATTTTTCAGTCAACTATCCTTTTAACCCTTGATCGGTCACTCTTAATGTGGGGGTAGTGACATGTATGACCTTAATCAACCTGATTAATGAGTCCTGGGTTTAGCTCAACATGATGAATGTGAACATATATGCCCGTTCCACACTGAAGGGTCGACTTGTTTGTTTATCCAGCTGAGTATATACTGTACAGAAGCCATCTGGGATTTTTGCCAAGACTTAATGTTTTCACAAGCGATGCTTTAATGATAGTCCCTCCTGGTTTTGAGCAAATATGTTCTTGGATCATTTACATCCAAATGGCACTGAACTATATTTATATAATTATATGTGTCAATATATGTTGGGGAAAAGCCAATGACCATGGGATCTCAAAGGGATTTTCATAGTTTTGGCCTTGTTCTAAAGGCACGGCCCCAACAAACACCAACTTTTTGCTTGGTTTTGTTGGATCAATGTGTTAATGTTTTTAGTACACTGTCACGTTTCATACCTCACAAACCCTTGGCGACTCTCCCTTCAGGTTTGTGACGCGCTTCATAGAGTTGGATGGGTTGACGTGTCTTCTGAACTTCCTGAGGAGCATGGATTTCGAAACCTCAGAGAGCCGCATACATACCTCCATCATCGGCTGCATCAAAGCCTTGATGAACAACTCCCAGGGCCGAGCCCATGTACTGGCCCACCCTATGAGCATCAACACCATCTCCCAGAGCCTCCGCCAGGACAACATCAAGACCAAAGTGGCCGTGTTGGAGATCCTGGGCGCTGTTTGCTTGGTGCCCGACGGGCATAAGAAAGTGCTACAGGCCATGGCACACTACCAGAAGTATGCTGCCGAGAGGACTCGCTTCCAGGTAATGTCGCCTTTAATGGGAGTTAAGTAACAGAAATTCCAATGGAAAACAACTGTCATCTTGTTTGGGCAATCTGTCTGGATATGTAAAATAATTCATATGCATAGACATGTGACCAAACATCATTCATTGATCGTCATATTGAATGAGAACTATAAGCCTGCTGAACTATACTAACTTCTGTGTGATTTAACCCTCAAACCGTATTCACTTTATAGCCCTTAATCCTGTAATTGTGGACAAATGTGGGCTCAGGTGTGAGCCTAATTTTTATTTATTGTAAATGTTATATCACTGTCTTTGATAAAGTTTTGTCTATCCATTTATGGTGTTTTTTTTTTATTTTGGGGGTATTTTTGAATTTATTTACTTCAAAAAGTACCATATTTTCTATGTAAATTATGCTTATTTTTATGTTTTATTTATTTATTTTTTTAACTACATTAGAATATCTTTCCAATAAGTTCTTAGAGCTAAAACCTAAAGATGAAGTGACTTATTTTGGCTTATTTTAGAATGCTCTAAATTACATTCATTCATTTCATTTCTATGGGTGCCCATTTTTGACCCAGATATAAGATTAAGGAGTTTTTTTCACCCACTTATCATTGTAGAATTGAGTAAAAAAAAAATTGTGTGTTCAGGAGGCAAACTTAGGAAAAGTAGCCAAGTCTTGAACCGCTCAGATCAAGGGAAGTATTTTTTTAAAAATAAATCAAAACTATTTTGCCCACATTTGTCCAGAATACAGTTTTAGGGTTAACCATTTTATATCATATTGCTTTTGCCAACATTTTATAGGAGCACTAGTTGTTTTATCAACTCTTTCCACGCCATTAGAAGATGTTTTCTTGAACATGATCAAAAATGTTGGCAGTGGCTGGCAACTTTTTCTAAAAAAACGTTGGCGGAGAAAGAGTTAATACATTTTTATGGGATTTTAATCTCTTTTAAATTGGAAAAATAAGAAATATCAGAAATAGGAGTGCGTCAAATTGTTGGCAGGATTTAGTGTAGTCTTTGTAGACATTTCAATACTTGTGGGGGTATTGTCTGCATTTGGGAGCAATTTTAACCACAGAGAAGAAAAACACACTCGTGGAAGCCTTATCATATGTAGAGTGATATGTCTTTACTGTGTGTTTATTCATGTACAGAAGAGCTGACATGCTTGGCAAAAACAAACGTCTGTGTTTGAAACATTAGCCGGTTAAGCATGGCTGGTTTCTAGTGACCCAAAAGCTCTCTGAACAAACTTGACACAATAAGCACCATTAGCAGACATTAGAAACCCGTTCCAGAGAAATAACATTCCCACCAGCCATAAAAGCATAAATCGGCCATCCATAAACACCCCAGATGGAAAAATTTATTGTTCGTCAGTCGGCATTTTCACATGATACGTCAGCTTGTCTACAGAAGCGGCATCCTTAACTCTATGGAAACTCATGTGACTTGTATTAAAACACATTACAATGTCACTCACACGCATCACACAAAGAGTGCTTTAACATTCACAGTAATGTTTAGCTGACTAAGCTAGAACAAAAAAACAAACAAATATATATTTAAAAAAAAGGATTTTAATTTGATTCATTTGTATTTAATTAGATATCTTTGTATTTTTTACTCAGTCTCTCTTGAACGAGCTGGACAGAAGCTCAGGGCGCTACCGGGACGAAGTAAATCTGAAGACAGCCATCATGTCATTCATCAATGCCATGCTGAACGCTGGGGTTGGAGAGGTCAGCAGATGTGTCTGTATATATATATATCTTTTTTAATTTTGTAATTGGTACAGTATAGCTATTAAAGCCGGCATAATGGCTATTAATTCCTTTCTTCCCTATTGTGAGGTACAGTGGTTGGACAATGAAACTGAAAGTGGCCAACTGGATGACGGTCTAAAAAAATTGAGTGTCGTGTTTCATGTGGTTGAATGTGTTCAAACTGGCACAACAGACCGTCTACTCTCCACCTACTGACCTAATGCATGAACACTATAGACGAATTTGGCGAAACTACTGGAAGTAAGCGGGCGCCATTACTGAGCTGTTGCTGGGTAGTGTTAAGCCATTGCCTCCTATTGTTTTAGTTGCAACTTGCGTCCACTGGAATAAACAGCCCGCGATTTACGACTGTTACAACGTTAGCCCTTGTATAATGTCGAGTGGGTAAACAGTTTCCGTTAAATTGTTTCAATGGTGGCAGTAAAATTTCAATTTTGAAGGGAAAACATTGTGAATACCCCGGGTCGACTGCCACTGTCTGGTGCCGTACGGTTTGCACAGATTTCCTGGGCGAGTACAAGACGCGGACATTCGCGTATAATAACAATTATTTAATGACATAAGTAAAAAAATATAATAAATATGTGATATAGTGATCAGCAAAATCTCCTCTCTTGCTATTTTTTCTATTCAATTAACATGCTATGGTCATTAAATGGCTTTCCTGAGCTAAATGTAACGTTATGTGACATAATTGTTCTCCTGCTGTTAAATTGACCTCTTTCCATGGTTTAAAAACACTAATTGGTCGATATTATGTATACTTTCTAGCTGTAACGTTACCTTACCCTTCCCCGTTGCAATGTGAAAATGAGATAAATAATGGACACAAATTAAAAACATGAATTTGTTTATTTGATTTCATTTATTTATTTATTGTTGCCAAATGGACAGATCTTTTTATAGCTTCCTCGTTAGCAAACGTTAGCCTAGCTAGCTTGCCAAGCTATTTTCATAAATAATCTGGGAGCGCAAGTTCATTCACTAGTTTGCCAGCGTGAGTCTGTGGAGGGAAAAGTCCGCTTTGCACGGGTGCAAAATACAAATGATAAATGCGTCAGTGTATAAAGTCAATTGTGCTGGGTGCAAGGTAAAAGGGCCCCAGGTGTGTGTTTCCTAACTCGCTCATCCAAAACATCTAGCACAAGTAGTTGGCCTTGGGAATGCCATGATATTGCAGCCTAAACCATCACAGATCCCCATGCTTTACTCTGGGCACGCAACAGTCTAGGTGGTAAGCTTCCTTGGGGCTTCGACACACTGTAATACTCTTGGATGTGGGAAAGAACAAATACATGTTCCACAAATCCACAGCCCAATATTTCTGCTGAAAACCAATATTTTGGTGCTATCACGAGCGACCAAAGGTTCGGCTATAGCAATCCGACCATCAAGCTTCCAACGAAGAGTTTTGGTGGAAACAGAAAAGTTGAGGTGTGCATGTAATTCTGCAGAGAGTTGGGCAGACAGCTTCTTCTTTGAGTCGACATTTGCAGTTGAAATTAGTGTAGTCAGTGTAGATCAACACTATACTGGCCAGACTTTCAGTTTCATTGTCAAACCCCTGTATATCCAGTTCAAAGGTTTCTTGAACTCAACTAAAAGTAGGCCGGGACTTGATTTCTCCCAGTTGGAATTAATTGGATCGTTTTCATTTGCTATTGCTGCAATCTCATGTGAGTGAGGCCCTGTCCCAAATGGAAACCTAATCCCTCGCAATCATCCTCCAAGTCCACACTTTCTCGACATAACGCCAAAACCTGAAACCTAAAATGACTAGGGATGCACCGATATGTACCGATAACAGATAATTCTTTATATTTGAAAGTCGATAACCGATATATCGGCCGATAAATCGAAATCCGATTTTTATATAATTTTTGAAAGCGTGATTGCAAAAACAAAAGTCTCCAATTAAAATCCGTTCCCTAACACAATTGTTATGGTCTCATTATAATTTCATAATTTCATGTAGCCGATATGACAGCACATTTAACTATATTTTCCTTTTTGATTCCAATCATGTTTCAAGCAATTAAGATCAATCATGTTGAAGAGTGCGCATCTGAAGTGTTGAAGGAAATAATTCATTATTTATCAGCTTTAATATATCAGCCAAATTTTATTATCGGGCCGATAACGATAACATAAAAATGAGCAAATATCGGCCGATACCGATATGGTGGCCGATATATTGTGCACCCCTAAAAATGACAATTGGGACACCGTAGTGGACTTTTGTGGCCATTGTAAGTCCACAAGACCGCTAGTGTGTCATCTGGGACAGGGCCTAACCGGTTGTCCCTGACAGGTTGTCCTGCCACATCATCAGAGAACAGTAGATGTCGTTGAAAGAGGGATTGTAAGTTATTATGATTAAAGGTTACGAGGGCACGTGAATGATTAAAAAAAGCAAGGGCACGGGTGACTCTTTAATAATAAATACTCACTCCCAATATGCCATTAAAAAATAACAATGTTCATTTTGATTTCATGATGACTAACAATTATTCCCTCCATTTCTCTCAAAGGACAGTCTAGAGTTTCGCCTTCATCTTAGGTATGAGTTTCTGATGTTAGGAATTCAGCCAGTCATCGAGAAGCTGAGAACACATGATAATGTCACGCTTGACAGGTAAGAACACTAGTTAAAGGGGGGATTGATTATGATTTCACTTTTCTAGCTTTAGTTAGTGTGTAATGTCGCTGTTTGAGCATAAACGACATTATCAAAGTTACAACTCTCAAAGTTCAAAGCAAAGAAAGATATTTGCTTTTAAAGAAAAGGACTACAAAAATGGCTGGTAGAACTACACAAGCTTCCAACCCTAAAATTTACATAAGCCCCGCCCCTGGGAACTCATTCCATGTTGAGAAGAGGAAAAGTTGTTGTGTGGGTCAACTCAAACTTAAACATCCATCTTTTCACATGCAGTAGAAAGTCACTCTGTGTGTATCTCACAACACTATATGAGCGATTTCTAGATTAGCATGACAGAATATCCTAGTTGAATATAGTTAACTCCACATTAGCAACATAAATTCATCAACTAACCATTCAGAGATGTCCTGTTGCATTCTACATGTTTTCACTTCTTCACGAGACTCTCCATCTTTGTCTGACTACGTTTTAACTTTAAAGGCAGAACAGTTTCTGTGATTTTAGTGTGTTTCTGTGTGAGGAAATCGCAGCTGCTAACACACGAGCTCTTGAAGCCCCGTCCTCTGCAGAAGCTCATTTGCATTTAAAGGGCCAGACACAAAACAGTGTGTTTTTGCGAAACCTCAAAAAGTGACAACTTTAACATGTGGGGTATTTCGTGCTAAACTTTCACACACACACTCTGACCACATCAGAGATTTATTTTACATCTTTTGAAAATGAAAATGCCATTTTACCACCTCTTTAAAATTGAGCTCATTTCCTATCTAATAATCAAAGAGTGTCAAACTCCGATCCTGGAAAGTTTAGTTTCAACCCTGTGATTGTTTCCGGCGCCCCCTACAGCGCTGGTCTGGTGTCACACTCAACTTGATTCTGTCGAACCCTAGTGTGTTTACATGCATATTACGTCATCGCAAACGTGCATGGCGCATGATAGCAAACAAATAAATTCTGCAGATCTGTGGCCCTCCAGAAATCACTGCATTAGCCTATTGTTGCTTACAGAAAGGTCACGTGTGTGTGTTTCAGACATCTGGACTTCTTCGAAATGGTGCGGAATGAGGATGAATCAGAACTGGCCAAACGCTTTGACATTGTGAGATCTGTTATTTATATGCACAAGCCTTCTGCCATATCATGTCCTTAAAGAGTGCTTATTCTGTACAGAACAGCATGCTATTTTAGATTTGTTTACAAGACGTAATTGAGAAAATGAATGGACTTTCTGTGTTCAGACACACGTGGACACCAAGAGTGCCGGCCAAATGTTTGAGCTGATCAAGAAGAAACTGAGCCTCACAGATGCCTACCCTCACCTTCTATCTGTCTTACAGCACTGCCTCCAAATGCCATGTGAGGACCACATGAACCATTCAAAACATGTCTCCCTACACTAGCACACTCCACCATTGATGTAGATTTAATAAACGTATCTAATGATCTTCACCTTCTTAACTGTGGTTCTGTTCCCAAACCTTGTGAACTCCCTAGTATCTGGGGCTGAAAATTGTCATATTTATGCATCATGATATTTACATGCTCTAAGAATACCATTTAATTACCATGTTACATGTCCAAAAAAACATGGCATTACCTAAAAACATGGAAATATTATAGAACTTTGTTTTAATAGTGTGAAAAGCAGTGGAAGCATGTTTATGACACTTGTAAAATGTTTTCAGATAAACGTGGTGCTGGCAGCATACAGCAATGGCAGCTTCTAGACCGCATCCTTCAGCAAATTGTTCTACAAGATGAGAAGGGAGAAAATCCAGATGTTTCACCCCTGGACAATTTCAACGTTAGGAACATCATTAGAATGTAAGTGCTCAATTCAAAACACATTGTGCACATGGTTTTAACCATCTAGATAGCACATATTAGGCTCTATCATGAAAAGTTAATCATAACTTTGATAAGATACTGGCTTGATAAGATACTGGATCCTCTTTAGATCTTTTGAAGGTTTTGAAGGGATACTGAAATGTTTTGTGCTCAATGAACCACAGCTATATTTTATATGTAAAAAATCTGGGGATGATTTGTGATAGTGCACTTAAATTTGACAAACAGGTAAATGAAATCGTTAAAACGAGCTTCTTTAAACTGAGGATGATTTCAAGAATTAAGCCTTTTTTATCCCATAAAAATCTGGAAAAAATAATTCATGCATTTATCACTTCAAGAATAGATTACTGCAATTCTCTATATTATGGTGCCCAAAATAAAGTCTTAGATAGACTTCAGATGGTCCAAAATGCGGCTGCAAGACTGTTGACAGGCACTCGCAAATTCGACCATATCACTCCGGTATTAAAAGCACTACATTGGTTGCCTGTCACTTTTAGGATTCAGTTCAAAATGTTGCTTTTTGTATTCAAATCTCTACATGGGTTAGCCCCATCTTATATACGACAATTCACCATGACGTCACAACAATAATAGACGTTCTTCCGGGTGGCAAAAGCCGAAGCGTCCCTATGGCAACACTAGTAAATTGCATGGAGGGAGACACACCGCCGGCAGAAGCCTAATCTACATTTCAACAGTTGATTCAAAAACAGACGTGGTGGAAATTCGGACATAGTTAACATGATCATTAAAGCTTAGATTCTTTGATCTAGAGACGTGCACTCCTAACGCACTAGACCGCGGCGCGGGACTAGTCACTAGATCTGATGGCCGAGTGCGGGCGGTAATGCACTCTGTGTGTGCGGATTGCAGGATAATAAAACGATTCGCGGGACTCCCGCAAACTAGAAATATCTATGAATAAAACAAATAAAAAGTAATACATTTGTATGTATCTGTTGCAGAAAAGCAACAAGTACAACTAAAACAAAATAGAAATGACTTACATGGCAGAGTTTCTTTTTATAACGTGACTGCAGCGATGAGCGATGTAGCCAATCACAGACATATGTGTTGATTTATTGAACGCATTGGCCAATCAGAAGCATTTACGATGAAGAAGCATTTACTCACCGCTCAAAAGAAAGTAACATAGAAAGTAATAGAAATAACTAAGTTATTTGAGAACGTCAGTTATATAACGACCCACGTATTAAAATGGTTGGGTTTAAATCGGGCTCAGGCTCATAATTAGAAGACGACATGCACTTTTGACGACGTCCACTCGCTTTAACCTCCTCACCCACAGGTTCTGCTGGATAGATTTACTTTTTTCTGAAGGAAATCAATAAAAAAAACCTACACCTTTTGCTGTATATCTGGTGGCGCAACCCCAAACACAACATATTTTCGCCATAGATTCAACTTTGATCAACAACAATGATTTTAACTGTGTAACTGTTCAGTTGTCGGCTGGATCTCTTCAGTTAGTCAATAGAAGCCGCTCGCGTTCTGCCACCCGGAAGTATCGCGGTGCCTATTGTTTACAAACATTCTGAAATGCCCTATTGCAGATCTAATCCAGGAACAAAAGTCGATGAGATCACTACGATCAAATTCTCAGAAACGCCTTGACGTTCCTCGGTCAAAGATGAAATCTAGAGGGGATCGCGCATTTGCGGTCGCAGCCCCTAAATTATGGAACAGTTTACCTCTATATATTAGGCCAGTCCCTCCAGAAAAACGCGATTATGCGATCGCTGAATTCAATGCAAAATCAGCCAAAGTCCGCATATTTATGCGGGGGCCGCATTTTTTCAAATACGCCGCATAAATTGCCGATTTCCGTGCAAAATATGCGGGGTTTGCATAATTTCATAATCCTCGCATTTTCGTTGCAAAAAAAGTCACATGTATTTTAGCAGAAAGTTGAAAAATGTTGTGTTTGCTTCACACAAGAGCAGCCATTTCCTCCTGTTTCCATGGGAACGTTATGAAGTGACGCAATTACACGACGACAGACAGACTCACGGAGGCGATTGACATCTCACAAATCAAACTCGTATTCTGTCTGTCGCACGTTCTACCGTCACATCGTTACTTAATAAACATCATAAGATAAAAGAAGTAGCATCAAACAGAAATTACCCGCACACATGGTGTGTTTGAGGCGCACATATAACACTGCAGAGAGTTCAACAGGGAGCGCGCAGCTCTTAAAGGGGCCACACCTTATTTACACTCGTTACACTCTGAAATAAAACAAATATTCCCAGCACTTTCTATGATGTAGAATGCTTGCTTATCAAAGGAAGTAATAAGAAATGACTCTTACATTAGCCTAGTGAGAACAGGATGTTGGGGGAATCACTTTTTTTCTCTTTTTCATCAAACCGCAATTTTTGCAAATTCCTGCAATTTCATCGCATAAAATTGCATAAATTTACGGTATGATGCTGCCAGTAGTTATTTTTGCCCGCAACAATCACAAAAAAACTCTGCATTTTTCTGGAAGGACTGAATACTATTATGGTAAATGTTATATATAAATCGCAAATTTTTTCACAATTTTTTCATCAAAAAATCCTGGAGGGACTGATTAGGGACCTTCCTACACTCAGTCAGTTTAAAAGTCACTTGAAAACGTACTTTTTTATGATAGCGTTCGATCAAGATAAGCGTGAAGGGTGCTAGTGTTTTTTATTCGCTTTATAAATACATGTTGTTGATTGATGAAGGCTATATTACCTAATTAGATATGTGGATGTACATTTTTCCTTTATTCTTCTGTTTATGGTTTTACTGCCTGTACAGCACTATGGTCAACTCTGTTGTTTTATTCAGTGCTTTATAAATAAATTTGAATTTGAATTATATTTTGGCACACTGCTGCGATCTGATACTGTTAACATGCTGGATGATGATTCACAATGCTGTAAATGCATCATGAAAGTGTAAACCAAAATGGAAGTTGGTAACAAACGACTTCAAACCATTAGGAAATTTTAATGGAAGACTACAGTAATCAACATTAATGTGTGGAATATGTATTGAATTTCCAGCCATCTGCTTACCACAAGTGTCCAACATTTTCTCTTTGAAACATTTATCATCTAAGTTGTGCTCTCGCCATCTTTCACCCAACTTTCCACACATTTCACTATAGGACAAGCATTCTTTGCTCAAAAAGATTGCTAGTTATCAAGTTGACTATTTCCACCAGTGCGCCAAGTTTAACCAGTTTAGGAGCAAGTTTTCCAAAAGAAAAGCTAAAATAATGAAATGAAATGGCTTGTAACTCACAATTTATGGTTATACCCCAACAGCCAGGTTTTGAGGTCAAAACCTTCTTAAATAAGTAAAGTGCAATAAATCCATTACATGTTGCCGGCAACTTTATCATCTTTTCCTAATTTCATGTTAGTCATGTATATCTTTCATTCCCATTGTCCAATACTGGCAGTACATGTGTGTGTTTCACTTCTCTCCTTCTGTAGCTATGGAAAGCAGCGCATGTCAAGGTGTCACTTTAGATTTCTTTACTAAATCCTGATACTCACATAATCCTCCAACAGTATCCACTTACAATACAATTCACAACCAGACTAAACTAATTCCTTTTATATATCTAAATAATGTTTTGATTTATGAAGAAATCTCATTGCTTTGGTTTGACAGTGGCTCCTTTGGTTTAAAGACCCCATGAAATGGTTTGATGGTGTGTTGCCATCTGTATTACAACCAAACTACACACCACATAGAAAAACCATTTAGTTGACAGTTTGGATGCAACCAATGAAGACAATTTCAAAATGAATCAGTTCTAACCACTTGCTTTGTAACCACCTGATGCTTTGGAAAGGAAAACTGGCGAACCATAATTTGGCACTATTGAAAGAAGGTGGTTTATATAATTTAGGGTGAGGGGACATTCTCATTCTTGAGAGGATTTTAATGGGAAAAATATTATATACACCTCAATGGACAAGAAGATTAATCTTTCTGTTTAATTTTGCTAAAAAATGTTATGACTACACTTTGATAGTCATTAAAGTCATTAGGATATTGGTATCATTAAATGAGTAGTTCACTTTTTAAAAAAAAAACTTTTGCTGATAATTTACTCGCCCCCATGTCATCCAAGATGTCCATGTCCTTCTTTCTTCAGTTGAAAAGAAATTAAGGTTTTTGATGAAAATATTCCAGCATTTTCTCCATATAATGGACTTCAATGGGAACCAAATGGTTCAAGGTCCAAAAGACAGTTTCAATGCAGCTTCAAAGGGCTTTAAATGACACCAGACGATGAATAAGGGTCTTATTTAGGACCCTTCGAGTCATGACTCGAAAAAAAAAGATTTGTTCATTTTGATGAACGAGTTCGAACAGGAGAGTCACAAACGTGCATCACAGAACAGAGCAAGGAGAGCATTTGTGCTTATAAAACTTTTTTTTTTTAAATGACCTGCTAGATAAGACCCTTATTCATCGTCTGGTGTCGTTTAAAGCCCTTTGAACAGTTTGTACTGAAACTCTCATTTGGACCTTGAACCGTTTGGACCCCATTGAAGTCCATTATATGGAGAAAATCCTTTAATTTTTTCATCAAAAACCTTCATTTCTTTTCGACTGAAGAAAGAAAGACATGGACATCTTGGATGACATGGCTGGATGACATAGCTCCTTTAAAGCTAGCAGACATTTAATAAACATCCAAAACTCTTTTGCTGTCATGGGGTCTTTAACATTGGCTTCCACTTTTGCTAACACCGATGATAAATAACAAGAAGCAGTTAAAACTGATAAATGGCTGAGATAAGTGTGTGCAAAATGGATTTTATAACCCTGTGCATTTGAGTGCAACACAACGACACTTGCTTTTTTTCCCCATCCACAGGCTTGTCAATGAGAATGAAGTCAAACAGTGGCGAGACCAAGCAGAAAAGTTCAGAAAAGGTAACAGTGCAACACTGACTTGCATAGCTGAGCCTGAGTGAACTTACAGTACGTAACGATAATGATGTCTGTTTTTTAGAGCATGTCGAGCTGGCGGCTCGGCTGGAAAGGAAAGAAAGGGAGTGTGAAACCAAGACACAAGAGAAGGAGGATATGATGAAGACCCTCAACAAGATGAAGGACAAACTGCAGAAGGAAGGAGTGGAGTTGCGCTCTGCCAGGGAGCAAGTATTAGACCTGTCCTCCCGCATTAGCGACATTTCAGTGAGTTCACCATCTGCTACTTCCTTCTAGTGTGTTGAATGCATTTGTAAGTATAGCCGTTGCACGTTACACTCTTAGAAGGAAAGGTTCTATATAGAACCTTAAAAGGTTCTATCAGCGCTACGTATTTGGAACCCCTAAAAGGTTCTATACACTCTTAAAAAGGGTTCTATATAGAACCCTGGGGTTCCATACTTGGCCAATAGAACCTTTTATCAAAAAAAAACAAAAAAATGGTTCTATATAGAACCATTTTGGAGTTCCATTTATGAAGTGGGAGATGGAACCATTTCTGGTTCTAAATAGAACCATTTCTTCTAAGAGTGTAGCATTAGGGCTGCAACAAACGATTATTTTGATAATCGATTAATCTAACGATTATTCGAACGATTAATCGACTAATCGTCGATTATTTTGCCAGCTAATCAGTAAGTTTGGAACGATTATTCAGCTTTTTCAATTAGTTAAAATGTTGAGTTATACATATTCTTACTATAATATAAAAAATAAATAGTTGTTTTAATGAACTTTGAGCCAACTTTCAGATTTCAGTCCAACTCAAATCACACACAAATGCTCTCTAAGTATTGTTTAATGGACCCACTGCTTTTCTTAGAACTGACACAGAAAAAGGGTCATTTACTTCAGGACACAAATGTAGTAAAATATTAATCTGCAAACCATTATTATAAATATACAATTACAATCTTTTTGTTCAGTCTCAGCATTGTTGGTTTTAAGTTTTGTCAAACTTTCCCTAACCTTGCTAGTTCGGATTCGTTTGCGCTCCGTCATAATTCGTGCTGTTTTTTCTTTTACCGCAATAGCATTTGTAAAGGGCTGCATTACACTCTAGCGCCATAGTGGTCGAATCGTGATATTGCACGCCCTTACATCAGGCCACGTGAGATCAAACGACTACTCGACAACAACGATATTTGTCGACAATTTTTTATTTGTTTCGGGCCTACTAGAACTTCCATGTTGATGTCGCTTCTTACGTTGTTTAGTTAGAGATGTTTGAGGAGTTGGTTAAGCATGAGTTCGGTGTGATGGTAATCAAATGATTTGCTTATCTTTTAGAGTGAAGTTCCTTTGCCTGTTCCTCCTCTGCTCCCTGGGAGTCCGATGGCTCCGCCTCCACCACCTATGATGATGGGTGGCTTCCCTCCTCCTCCTCCACCTCTTGCTTTCTCCAGCCCACCCCCACCACCTCCTCCACCTCCCCCGGGGGGTCCTCCACCCCCGCCTGGAGCCCCGCCAATCTTCTCTGGGATTCTGCCTCCACCTGGACCTCCTTCCATTAGTTGCACAACCAGCCTGCAGACAAAGAGCATCCCTCAACCTTCACAACCACTCAAATCCTTTAACTGGTCCAAACTGGGAGAGGTGAGTCAGTCATGAAGCATTTGATTGTTTTGGTACTTGCACTATTACCATTCCTCATACTTAAAGGAGAACTCCGGCACAAAATGAACCTTTGGTCTAATAACTAGGGCTGGGTAATAAATATCTATTTTTCGATATTAATCGATTCTCATTTTTACGAAACCGACATCGATTCTTAAATCTCAAGAATCGATTAGTCATCCTGTTTTATTTGAATGAATGGATCATTGTATCGCGGCTCCGCGCATCCAATAAATTGCAATCTTTGTCCTTTGTTACTATTGATATGAAACAAAGTCTCAAATTTCAAATTACGTCCATTTTCTTTAGAAATTCAAAAACATAAATAATGTTTTGGCGCTGTGGCTCAGCTCAAGAGAAGCAGCAGCGCTGATCTCTCTTCCGGGTTAATAATACCAGTCACAGCGCCAAATAAACATGAACGAGCATCTGAAAGTGTGTTAAAGATAGAGTACAACTTATCGAAATCCGTATCATGTCACATTGATTCGCTCAATCAGCGCTTCAACCGTAACAGCTTGTAATCAATGTCATGTATCGTCATATTTACCTCAGAAAACCCACATCAACTCGTTAGTCAGCTAGAAAAAATAACTCCAGAGAGGAGCATTTTGCTAAATATATACACCATATTACATATGCATTATAATCTTAATGTTCTTCAATATTTAATGCATATTTGAATAAATCTGGCACGTTTTTATGACGGACACCATTTAAATGTTTATATTTCATATAATCTTCTTATTATAAAAATAAATAAAAGTGTAATTTAAGTGTTTGTATAACTACAAAACAGTTCATTATTACCTTCATATTAGGCTGATGAAGCCTAGTAGGCTAGTTAATTCCCTTGATAAAATTTGCCATTTATTGTAACTAATATCCAAAATAATCAATATTGAATCGAACCGAATTGCAAGCTTGTGAATCGAAATCGAATCGAATTTGTGTCAATACCCAGCCCTACTAATAACACATTGGTACCTAGTTGACCGTTCTCTGAGATTTGTTTTCATGATAATCGAATGTAAAGAGTTTTATCTCTAAAAACCGTTTAGCGTATAACGCAAGTATATGGGTCGTGGACTTAAATGAACTGAGACTAACGCTCCTTTGCTATATTTGCAGAACAAGATCACTGGTACCATCTGGTATGAGATTGATGACAGAAGGCCCTTTAAGGTTCTTGACCTGAAGGACATTGAGAAGATGTTTTCAGCTTATCAGAGGCAGCAAGTATGCAAGTGTTGCTCTCGAGAGTTGTATCTCATATTTCTGCTTTTGGGATCCTCAAGCTTTACAGCAGTTGTTCTTTGCTGGATGGCATGTAGTAGATGCCTTAGTGCTTTAAGCATGAAGTAGCGTTTTAGTGCATTTAGAGCAGAAATGCTGCAGATATGCTCTCAGGCCGAAGAGTGATTTTAAACACAATAATCATGATTTCTTCATGAGGCCTGTGAGAATGTTTGCTGTTTCTTCTGCTGCTTGATTTGTTAACTTCTGCATGTGTTCCCGATGTTTTTCTTCTTTCTCTGTTGCTGTTCCTCTGCCTGGCCAGGAGCTGCTCACTAACCAATCCTTCAAGCAGGTGAGTGGTTGCTCCGATTAAACCTACGATACTGCACACCTTTAAGGGCTGGTATTAAAGGGATAGTTCACTTTGAAATTAATGTTTGGTGTGTTTTATCTTACCTCAAGGGCATCCAAGATGTAGGTGTCTTTGTTTCCGCAGTAGTTTCAATTTTGATATTTTTAGGTCAAACCGTTCTTGTCTATATAATACTGTTGGTTTTCTCACACAAACCGCTCGTTTCGTGTCTTAGGCCATCAATGTGTACTTACATTTACGAGTCATTACATCATGTTTAATCTGGACTTCTCTGTGCATGCTCTTTGAGGTGGTGACCATAGACCTCCATTATATCACTGACAGACAAGAACGGTTTGACCTAAAAATATCAAAATTGAAACTACTGCGCAAACAAAGACACCTACATCTTGGATGCCCTTGAGGTAAGATAAAACACACCAAACATTAATTTCAAAGTCTTTCAGAGATCTTGGAATAGTAAAATCGTTCTTCTCGAACGCCTAGAGTGAATAATTGGTGCGTAATTATGAGAATCCGCTAAACTACTATGACAGCACAGTGGCTAAATGACTGTAATTAGCACAATTAGCAATTAGCATGAATTAGCAGATGTGAAACATGTGAAACATTCTTCATGTACTGCTTCGAGAGAGTTGTGTGTTAGAAGTGTGCTTTCTTTGGAGCGCTGTGGAGTGACATGACCCGTGTAACCTCATCGAACATTCACAGCACAGGAAACGGTCTGGACCTATAAATAGATGTAAATGTTCTCGCTGAAACAGCCAAGCATCTGTGGTTCTTCAGTTGCATGATCATTTCTGACACACTGTTCTCAATACTGGCCTTTCGAGAAATGGAAAATGGAAAGTTACGCATATATTGTGTGTTTTATTCTTCACTGCAACCATTGAAATGACGGATTCAGTTTTGAAAGACAAAAAATATCATTGGTTATTAAAACGAGTTTTGTTTTTTAATCGTTTATGTCTCTTTATTACATTTTTCAATCAAGAATTATTTGATGCGTTTCATTGTTATAAAGTGGATCCAAACAGCCATGATGATAGTGGGTTTTCTCCTCTTCTGCAGAAAGAGACGGGATCAATGGATGACCTTTATCTAAGCTCGCGCAAAGTCAAAGAGCTGTCGGTCATCGACGGCCGGAGGGCCCAGAACTGTGTCATCCTGCTTTCCAAGTACGTACTTGTCCCCACTGTTAGCGCCAATGTTAATGGATATCCTGGATGACAGATGCTATGCTTATTACACTTTGAAAAGTAATTCAGAGGATCTGTTACCACAACTCGGCTGCAAGTTTGAATTTCTAGGTCTGGTTTCACAGATAGGCTTTAGTTATGTACAGTAGCTTTTATAAACGTACCTTACCGGTCCGAATCTTGATACAAAACAATGGCACTGGCATTTAAAGTTTTGCGAGATGCTTTCAGTTAAAACAGCTCCAAACATGCATTTTAGTCTTAGGCCTTGTCACTACCAGTGTTGGGTAAGTTACTCTAAAAAAGTCATTAATTACTAGTTACTAATTACCTCTTCAACAGTGTAATTGGATTACTGTACTAATTGCGCTCTCTAAAAAGTATTTAATTACTTTTAATTACTAATTACTTTCAAAATCCCATATCAATCTAGGATAGACACGAATCTGTTTTAATTCTGTCAAATAAATACTATAAAATTGCATGAATTATCCTTAAGCTGACCAAGGTGGAGACGGTTACATTATAAAAACAAACTTTTTAGCATCAGACAGTACATTTTGATGTTAAACCCACTATTGTTTTATGTCTGATCTCATGACATTTCACACTTTTTTCATACATATTTTACAATAATTCATACGAATTTGTACGAGTGCGGTCGTACGATTTAGACACCTCATATAAAATCATATGAATCGCTGTGAGATCGGATTGATTTACCTCAATTACATCAGAAGTAACTGTAATTAAATTACAGATAAATGAAGAGTAATCCCTTACTTTACATTTTCAATGGAAAAGTAATTAAATTACAGTATCTAATTACTTGGTATTTAGTTACACCCAACACTGGCCGCTACAATACAAATTGTTTGAGAAACTTGAATTCAAAAATTCAACTTTGTGTTTATGTTACCAATTATTAAGTTCTTCCAACTCAATAGTTTGTTAGTTGAGTTGCCATAACTTAAAAAAACGATGCAAACAGTAAGAAAATGTTGTTGAGCCAACACGTTATTTGTATGTTGTTTGAATGTTGTTGAGATGTTACTTTATAGTAGGAAATGGTGTACTGAAACCATTGCATAACATTTTAAGACGAGCCTTACTAGTCGTTTGTGTTAAAACTGGTCATAACTTATTTTAGTTGCATAAAAATTTGAATCTGAAAACTAAGACAGATTGCCACTTGATTTACTGAAAGTTGTTCTTAAATTCATTATAAAATCTAAATTAACGATTCTTAATGGAAAACTGGATTAGTGTTTATTATAAATGATTTATTTGTGAACATCGTTGGTTTTCTTTTTCAATTAACATGCCCTCACAAAGAAAAGGTGAATTAATGTAGCCAAACCAGGAGTTGATTTAAAAAAAAAATTAGGGCTGTCAAATGATTAATCGCGATTAATTGCATCCAAAATAAAAGTTTGTGTTTACATAATATATGTGGGTGCACTGTGTATAATTATTTTATATATATAAATACACACACATGCTTGTATATATTTAAGAAATATTTTCATCTATATACTGTATATCGATTTATATATAATTTATATTGTATATAAATAGAAATATTTTATAAATAAATAATATTTTTTTCTTAAATATACATGCATGTGTGTGTATTTATTTATATACAAAATAATTATACACAGTGCACCCACATATATTATGTAAACACAAACTTTTATTTTGGATGCGATTAACCGTTTGACATCCCTAAATTTTTTTTACTTTTTTAAACATTTTTACTTTTTTCAGCAAAGACATTCAGAGCTTTTCTTTGAGCTTAAAGAAAAAAACAAAAGTGAGTTTTGAAAACAGAAAATTGTGCCAGTTCAATGTAGAAACAAGCTATCTAGTGCAATTCATAATGCCTTAATGAGGCCAGGAATAGATTGATGGTGTTCTGTGATGTGGACAGATTTGTATTGATCACAACTAAGCGGAGAGAAGATTGATTGTACATTGATTTTTAGGCCAGGTCTGACCTTTTATGTCACATCATAGGATGATTTGACATACAGCACTATTGGTGTTTTTACTTTTTTAACAACAATTTACAGGATTAAGAAAGCCCTTTCTGTTCATACAGGTTAAAAATGAGCAATGAAGAGATAAAAAGAGCCATTCTAGAGATGGATGAGAGGGAAGAGCTGGCTAAAGACATGTTGGAACAGGTTCGTCATTTAAAAAACACTATCTTTTTGATTTGTTCATTTAATGCTTATGAGTAAACACTCTGTCTGTGTAAATGTATTGTACATTCACAGCTGCTGAAGTTTATTCCTGAGAAAAGTGATATTGACCTTCTGGAGGAACACAAACATGAGCTTGAGCGTATGGCCCGGGCCGACCGCTTCCTGTTTGAGATGAGCAGGTACAAATGATTGAAGCTTAGATGATAAATGAGCACAATGGTTAAAAAAAAGGGGGAAAAAAGTGAAGAATAATGCAAACGCAAGTTCTTCATCAGAGGATTTATTATTGAAGTGCATAAATGACAAAGCAGGCAGTGATTTTTAGTTGATTTTGTGATTTATTTATTTTCTTTAGTGATTTTTTCCAGCATATTTTACCTCCAAAGAAACACGCCACTGCAAAAAAAAAAAAAAAAAAAAAAAAGCATTTCATTTCTAAAAATCTATGGTGTCTAAAATTCCCCAAATTCTCTGTTCAATCTTACACCACATCATACCCTGGGAAATCCATCATTTATCAGAAAATCTATGCAAATCCAGAAAAGATGAATAAGGCCACACACATACTTTACGCAAGTACATTAATGCAGCCATGACTGAACAGCATGTGTACTTGTATAAACGACATTGACATTTTGCAAAGCAACAACCTGCAAAGTCAGACATGTTTCCTATATACTTTGACTTACATACTTAGTACATATATAACAGGATTTTCTTAATATATATATATTAGTGCTTTCAAACGATTAAAATATTGAATTGCGATTAATCGCATCCAAAATAAAAGTTTGTGTTTACATAATAAATGTGGGTGCACTGTGTATAATTATTTTATACGTATATATATAAATACACACACATGCATCTATATTTAAGAAAAAAATATTATTTATATATAAAATATTTATATTTATATGTAATATAAATTATATATAAATCTACAGTATATACATGAAAATATTTCTTAAATATACAAGCATGTGAGTGTATTTGAAGAGTTCAGATGCAAAAGCCTCTAAATGCCATTTGAAATTTTCATCTTTAATGTTGATTTTTATCAAACTTGTATATTTAAGTTCAGTAATTTCACTTAGATAACAATTAATAGGTAATTATCATTGCCATTTAAGTGAAATTACTGAACTTAAATATACAAGTTTGATAAAAATCATCATTAAAGAAGAAAATTTCAAATGTCATTTAGAGGCTTTTGCATCTGAACTCTTCATTTATATAAAATAATTATACACAGTGCACCCACATATATTATGTAAACACAAACTTTTATTTTTGATGCGATTAATCGTTTGACAGCCCTAATAATAATATGATTATTTATCATTGTAATGCATTATTGCTATACTTGATATTTAATGTAATAAAATGAAATGCCATTGATAATAATAGGAACCAGCAACATGAAATGTGACCCTGTATGGCTGAAGCTGAATGATTTATTTTCTCTCCACCAGAATCGACCACTATCAACAGAGGCTCCAGTCTCTTTTCTTCAAGAAGAAGTTCGCCGAGCGTCTGGCCGAGACGAAGCCCAAAGTTGAAGGTTGGTAGGTTTCACTCACATTCGAGTGACAGAGGCCATAAACTGTCCTGGAATTATGGGAGAAGTGAATATGAGAGCATGAGTCAGGTCTGGTGTGTTTGTGAGTGTGTGTGTGTGGCTCTTCTACTTGAATTTATCTCCAGTTCAAATAAAGAGCACTGTTTCCACGGAGGCTGTTTTGGAAAGCTGGCACATGTATAGAGGGGAGAGTCGTTCTCATAAACACTGCTTTTTTTCTTCAAAGAGTTTCAAGCTTTTCATGAAAGAGTCGTGGCGTGCATGTGCTTACAAAGTACTTTGGGTGAACATAAGCCAGCCCAAATTCTGGTTCAAGACCTCTCTCTCTCTCTTAGCTATCCTTAAAGGGACAGTTCACCCCAAAACACCCTCGTTTAACCACCATCATGTCATTCTCTGTGGAAAAATGTTCACTGTGGTAGACAGCCATATAATAGCTTTGTGTGTGAAACAGAATTGAAATTTACTGAAAAGATCACATAACATATTGGTTATCCTCAAATGTATCAGTACACACACTCACCTCTAACTGATTTACACAACCTCAAAGTGAAAAGATAAAGGGTCCCGTATTTTCCCTGACTTGTCAATGTCATGCCGTGTCTATAAAACACAAGCAACAAGACTAAGTTGATAGCAGTGTCTAATTAAGCGTTTTAGAGCAGAGAGTTTGGGCACCGTCCACACAGACAAAACAAATCAACCTCGCACATTAAAATGTGTCAACAGGAAGGCATTTTGAATGTTTTAGCATCTAGGCAAAGGAAGTCTAACTTTGGCTAAGATCCTCCGGGAAAACTTTTCTTTCTTTTTTTTTTTTTTTGTGGGAAAATTGTGGACAAGCATCAAAGTTGCATGCTCTTTCTGGTTCCCGCTGGAGCGACTGCTGTTATGATGGGAATTGTGAGGCAAAACTGGAGTTGAGACTAGTTCACACACTCACAAAAACATAGTGAGGTATAATGAATCGCATTGAATCTTAGTTGATGATCCAAATGCTGACTTATTCCACTGTGGAATGGAATTACATTACATTCTAATTGGTAGTTGAAAGCACAATCAAATTAGCCGAAATATTTAAAGGAGTAGTTCACTTCTAAAAAAAAAAAAACTTTTGCTGATAATTTACTCACCCCCATGTCATCCAAGATGTCCACGTCTTTCTTTCTTCAGTCGAAAAGAAATTAAGGTTTTTGATGAAAACATTCCAGGATTTTTCTCCATATAATGGACTTCAATGGGGTCCAAACGGTTCAAGGTCCAAATGAGAGTTTCAGTGCAGCTTCAAAAGGCTTTAAACGATTCCAGACGATGAATAAGGGTCTTATCAAGCGAAACGAGCGGCCATTTCAAAAATAAATAACAAAGTTTAAGTTTTATAAGCACAAATGGTCGCCTTGCTCTGTTCTGTGATGCGCCTTTGTGACTCTCCTGTTCGAACTCGTTCATAAAAATGAACAGTTTTTTTGAGTCATTTGGTTCATTCAACGAACGAAATGACTCGAAAAAAGATTCATTCATTTTGATGAACGAGTTCGAGCAGGAGAGTCACGAACGCGCATCACAGAACAGAGCAAGGCGACCATTTGTGCTTATAAAACTTAAACTTTGTTATTTATTTTTTAAATGAGCGATCGTTTCGCTTGATAAGACCCTTATTCATCGTCTGGAATCGTTTAAAGCCCTTTGAACAGTTTGCACTGAAACTCTCATTTGGACCCCATTGAAGTCCATTATATGGAGAAAAATCCTGGAATGTTTTCATCAAAAACCTTAATTTCTTTTCGCCTGAAGAAAGAAAGACGTGGACATCTTGGATGACATGGGGGTGAGTAAATTATCAGCAAAAGTTTTTTTTAAAGTGAACTACTCCTTTAAGAAGCAACACATGTTGGGGATTGTGTACAAATTTTCTGAATGACAGACTTTCATGTGGGTGTTTATAACAGAAAGCAATACTTCACCCAATTCTGTCATCATTTACTCGTCCTCGTGTCATTCCAAACTCGTATGGCTTGTGTTCGTATGGAACACAAAAGAAGATTTAGAAAAATGTCATTAACCAAACAGTTTTTTGGTGCATTTCTTTTCTAGCTATTCTGTGCGCGTCGCGCGAGGTGATGAAAAGCAAGCGTCTGACACAGGTTCTGGAAGTGGTTTTGGCTTTCGGGAACTTCATGAACAAAGGACAGCGGGGCAACGCATATGGTTTCAAAGTGTCCAGCCTCAACAAGATCGTGGACACAAAGTCAAGTATAGACAGGTCAGAGGTCAATGAAGAGGATCTATTTTTTAGCTTGTTCAACTTTTTCAATCAAAGCATCTTTTGGCCTTTTCACCGCTACCTTTGACAATTCATTTTACTGATCTGAGTTCACTCAATGAATTGTTAAAAAAGTGTACATTATTTGTGTCTACATGAGATACATTGTGTCCTCACATGAGACATATCTATTTTTTTTTCTCTTGTGCTGTTTTGCAATATAACGTTTAATTGCATTTCTGTTTTCAAATAAGTTTGATGGAATAAATTGCATTAAAGGAGTAGTTCACTTTTAAAAAAAACTTTTGCTGATAATTTACTCGCCCCCATGTCATCCAAGATGTCCATGTCTTTCTTTCTTCAGTCGAAAAGAAATTAAGGTTTTTGATGAAAACATTCCAGGATTTTTCTCCATATAATGGACTTCAATGGGGTCCAAATGAGAGTTTCAGTGCAAACTGTTCAAAGGGCTTTAAACGACACCAGACGATGAATAAGGGTCTTATCTAGAGAAACGATCGCTCATTTAATAAATAAATAACAAAGTTTAAGTTTTATAAGCTCTTTGCTCTGTTCTGTTCGTGACTCTCCTGTTCAAACTCGAATGAATGAATCTTTTTTTGAGTCATATGGGTCATTTTGTTCATTGAATCAACCAAATGACTGAAAAAATGAAAAAAAGATTAGTTTGAAACTCTCATTTGGACCTTGAACTGTTTGGTTCCCATTGAAGTCCATTATATGAAGAAAAATCCTGGAATGTTTTCATCAAAAACCTTAATTTCGTTTCGACTGAAGAAACATCTTGGATGACATGGGGGTGAGTAAATTATCAGCAAAAGTTTTTTTTTTTTTAAGTGAACTTCTCCTTTAAGAAGATTTGAAGTGAATGGATTTATAACACTGGTATATTTGTTAATTATTTCATTGCTTGAATTTTGAAATACATCATTATTCTATTTGCATTTTCAACAGGAACATCACCATGTTGCATTACCTGATCATGATCTTTGAGAAGAATTACCCTGACATCCTCAATATACAACAGGACTTATTCAGTGTACCAGAAGCTGCCAAAGTCAAGTGAGTCCCACCTTATATTATATTATATTATATTATATTATATTATATTATATTATATTATATTATATTATATATATTATATTATATATTAGTCCCACCTTATATTGTTTGTGGTGTGTGCTTGGGCTGTTTTGTGGATCAGTTTATGGTTTTGTCATACTGTTATTTTCCCACAGTCTGGCTGAGCTGGAGAAGGAAGTGTTCAGCATCAGGAACGGCCTGAAAGCTCTGGAGGCGGTGAGGCATCCGTCATGTATTCCTGTGAACGGTTAAAAACGTTCTCATCAGAGACACCCCTCAAACATAACTGACATACTCTTTATTTAGTATTTTATTATTAGCTACCTAATGTTTTTTTGCTAGTGAAGAATCTTCTAGACAAGGTAAAATATGATATTACCGATATTGATTTTTTTTGATTGCTGATGCCGATATCTTAGAGATATCAAGCTGATATAAAGCCAATCAATTTAGCATTTATATTTATTTTACTTAAAGATGCATTGCGCAACATTTCATTTTAAAAATACCCATTTTTCTAACCCATACATGCTTAAACAATCGCCTGATTGGCTGAATGAGCCCTTCTCTGATCACTGTGATCGCCTCTATAATCCTGTACAGTAAAATAAATAAGAGGGATTCGGGACGGATTTGAGACTGGGCGTGATGTCATGTGCGTTCACACTCGTCTGGCGATGTCTGGCAGGTTTGTGTATTCGCCGCCATTCTCCGTATCAGAGAAGACAACTCGAGCGACAAAACTTTAGTCAACTTTCCACAAAAGACGATGGATTCAAAGAGACCGGCTTGTAGTTCATTCCAAACCCCGACGCAAACTCCACGTAAGACAAAGAAAATCAAACTTGTGTCTAGTGCCAGGCGTGGGAATAAGACGAGAGTCGACATCGGGAAGCTTTCAACAAACGGAGAGATCAAACGGCTCCTATACAAAGTTATATTGTTCATGAACATGTTTCCATATTAATACAATCATAAGTGGATACAGTAAACACATAAAACAGTTGAACATGGAGATAGATGGAAACAAAAACCGAAGTTTTCTACTAACGTTACCCCCGTCAAATGCCTTTCCTTTCATATATTTAAAATGACTTGCAGATTTATAACTTTATTACCTCTAAAGACATTATGACTGTAAGAAAAGATGTGTGCAGCTGATGCTCCTTTGGTTATGAACAGCTCGTGCAAACGTGTGTGTGTGTGGTCCGTGAGCGTGCACACCTCTGGTTGCAGTTTCGCTTGTCACCAGAGGGGGTGTAGTTCTGCAAAAGCTCAGAGACTTGCACAATGCACCTTTAATATTTAATAAACTATAAATAAATAATTTGAAAATGAACTCAAATATACATTTATAAAATAAACAGTCAATTTGCCCACTGAATAAGTAGGACAGTCTATCAGTAAAAACAAATATTCTGTTGTAAAATTTTACATCTGTTTATATCAGGAGTTACGATACCAGCAGAGCCAAGCATGTGATCGGGGGGACAAGTTCGTCCCAGTGGTCAGTGACTTCATCACCGTCGCTAGCTTCAGCTTCTCTGAACTCGAGGAACTACTCAATGAAGCCAAAGATAAGGTAACGTCGTCTCTTCCCTTACAAAAAAGAAGTATATTTCGAATTCATTTTATGTAGTATACTTAAGTAATGTTCAAGTATATTTTTAAGTATACATTAGTAAGTATACTAATGTCACTATGTACTAGTAGTAAACTTGTAAGTGTACTATTTTAATACCGCTTGGGACTAAATTGGCCCACTTTTAGTACATAAAAGTGTACTATAAGTGTAACAGTAAGTGCACAACTAGTTCATAATTATGTATCTTATGTGTACTGCAAGTGAATTTATAGTTTACTTTTTCACTGTAATACTTATACAAGTATACTTTGAATACTTAATTATACTTTTAAGTATTTCTGGATCACAAGATTGAGTACAAGAACAGGACAAATATTCTTGTCTTTCTCTCAGTATAAGTCAAGTACACTTAAGTGTAATTTGAAGTATATTTCTGAGAAGTACATATAGTATACTTCTGAGAAGTACAGGAAAAATAAACTGAAAGTATACTTTCTTATTTTTAGTTTAAAAGAAGTATACTAATGGCACACTTGAATAAACTTCTTTTTCGTAAGGGTTAATAATTCAGTCACAATAACCTCAAATATCCAACCTAATAATACTTTTCCTCATCTCCATTCCAAAAGAAAGGGATTCATTTTAGCCAGATACAATCACACAAAGGAGTTCCTTGGCAGAGAGGGAGAGAAAACAAAAGGCATGGATTGTTCCTTCAGTGCCCAGGGCTGGAAATGTTTTCTCCAACATGAGCTCAGAGTTATTGTTGAGGGCAGAACAGGGTCTTTGAGTGGGTCACAGCCTTCCCAACCCCCTTCTCCATCGTTTAGAGCCCTGCCAACCCTGTGCGTGGAGCCGGGCCTGATATCTTAGAAGGATGAAGGAATGAGAGAGAAAGAAAGAAAAAGGCTTTGTGTACTCGGCATGATGACTTAAACATCCCGGGGAATCCCGGCAGCCGGTCCTAAATTTCTCAGGGCTTTTTCTCCAGGGGTTTGCGGAGATTTATTTCTTTTGAAATGTGGCTTGGACTCAACCCCACCCCCACTATGGTATGTCCCCAACTCTCAAGTACATGAAAGAGACAGCCATTGGAACACTTTGAAGATTGTGTGTTTGTGGTGGTGGAAAGTGTGAGTAGGGATGTGTTTTGGTCACTTCCGAACTCCTGAACCGTCGCTTTAACCCTTTCCACCATTTCCCAAGTTATTTATTTAGTAATGCCATTAAAGTTTGGCGAGACTTCTTGAGAAATGGCTCACCCTGAAGCTCTATGAGCTGTGAGGACACAAAGGCCTCCCTGTGCTTTCCAGACAGATCTACCTCTTCCTGCTTCATTCCAAGGGTCAGAATTCAGTCTCCAGTAAGAAATCCCGTCCCCCGAGGTGGGTTAAAATGAACACAAACACTACGGCTGAGAACAAGGGAGGAGTATTGTCAACACTGAGATGCTGAAGATCTCTGCAGAAGTCATTATTCAATTCAATTCAGTTTAATAACAGTCAGTGTTGCAAAGCTAGTGTCATTATCCAGCTGAATTCGGTTTAAATTGAATTTTCATTCAGTGTCAGTGCAGTTAAATCTATAATATTACTAAACATTAACCGTCCCCATAAAGGCTGACTCGTTTTGACTTCACATGGAGTATCACTTCTTCGTAAGATAATTGGTGGCTTCATTGAGCTGTGGAGACGGAGATGAAGACTTGGCCAGAATCACAAAGAGACAGATGACAGTTAGAACTGAGATAAATGAGTTCCCCATGGCAAATCTACTTGGTATATCCTCTTCTGGCAGACTGATCTTCAAATGGCTTTAACACCTTGATATGCCAAACCACACTAAAAGTGGATAGCCTTGGGTACGTACATTCAGTGAACAATCATTGCAAGCTTATGGCCCAGTGCAATGATTTTTTGTCATTTCTGGGCACTCACAGTGAACAGGATTAATCTCCCTGTCTTGGCATCCATGTGTATTTTTTGAGGTAAAATGTAGCAGGGATTGACAATGCATTGAAAATGTTGGATGGTGGAGTATAGAGATGTCTATGAGATGTGTAAGAGATATCCATGAGATGTCTAAGAGATGTCCATGAGATGTTGAGGAGAGGTCTACAATATGTCCATGAGATGTCCTGGAGATGTCTAAGTGATGTCTAGCAGATGTCTTGGATATGTCCATGAGATGTCTAGGATATATTTTGAGGATGTCTTGGAATAGGCCTTTATCGCATCAAAATAGAATGCCGGAAGTAACCGTCAAAAATAGCTGAAGCAGTGTACTGCGTCTTCCGGTTATTGCGTTCGAAATGGCTGCCTGTTATCGCTGGACTACTTCTCTCTCGAATCTCCCAAAAGTTGGCCAAGACGATGTGGTGCCTCCAGTTGCCTGATGGTTTCGGCAGCAGCATCAGCATCTAGTCCACCTGCGGAGTCGCGGGAGTAATTGTGATCACTGGCGGCCGCGGGTTGTTGATCCTCCGCGACTGTGGGCTGTTCATCCGCGTTCTCTATAGCAGAGTCGCTATTCTGTGACTCTTCAATTAACGTTACTTCAAAACGCGCATTAACCCGATCGAAAACTGACTGGCGAAGCACACGAGTCTCCCCCCAGCTGTTCCACGAAAATCGACTTGGTGTAGTACCGGATTTTAGTCTCCTCCGCCCACTTTTCGAGACGTAAATGCTTTCCTCGTCAAAGTGCAAGCTGCATACAAACGTACTACCCCGACTTATATGGAACAAAGGACCTTCGTCCCTCCTTATCACTCTCACCCAAGCCTTGCGGAGGTGTTCGTCTTTTGGGAAGTCATGGAAGCTGTATGGCTGTCTTTGTTTTGATGTTGAACAACCCGGTACACTGCAATAGCACCGGCGAGAGGAGGCAGCCATAGTTTATCTGGTAACTAAGTAACCACCGGAAGTGCGAGTACACTGCTTGGCGATTTCGAACGTTCCAAACCAAGAAATGTGATAAAGGCCTATTGTCTATGAAATGTCTTGGAAATGTCTATGAGATGTTCAAGAGATGTCTATGAGTTGTTTAAGAGATATCTTTGAGATGTCCATGAGATGTCCAAGAGATGTCTACAATATGTCCATGAGATGTCAATTAGATGTCCATGAGATGTCTTGGAGATGTCTAAGTGAGATCTAGCAGATGTCTTGGAGATGTCCATGAGATGTCTTGGAGATGTCTAAGTGATGTCTAGCAGATGTCTTGGAGATGTCAATGATATGTCTTGGAGATGTTTAAGAGATGTCTATGAGATGTTGAAGAGATATCTTTGAGATGTCCAAGAGATGTCTTGGAGATGTCCAAGAGATGTCTTGGAGATGTCCAAGAGATGTCTTGGAGATGTCTACAATATGTCCATGAAATGTCTTGGAGGTGTCTATGAGATGTCCATAAGATGTCTAGCAGATGTCTTTGAGATGTCTAGGATATATTTTGAGGATGTCTAGGACATTTATATGAGATGTTTAAGAGATGTCCATGAGATGTCTTGGAGATGTCTATGATATGTTGGTGATGTCTAAGTGATATCTAGCAGATGTCTTGGAGATGTCCATGAGTTGTCTTGGAGATGTCTAAGTGATATCTAGCAGATGTTCATGAGATGTTCATGAGATGTCTTGGAGATGTGTAAGTGATGTCTAGCAGATGTCTTGGAGATATCAGTGATATGTCTTGGAGATGTTCAAGAGATGTCTATGAGATGTTTAAGAGATATCTTTGAGATGTCCAAGAGATGTCTTGGAGATGTCTACAATATGTCCATGAGATGTCTTTGAGATGTCTATGAGATGTCTATGAGTTGTCCATAAGATGTCTAGCAGTTGTCTTGGAGATGTCTAGGATATATTTTGAGGATGTCTAGGACATTTATATGAGATGTTTAAGAGATGTCTTGGAGATGTCTATGATATGTCTTGGAAATGTCTAGGAGATGTTTAAGAGATATCTTTGAGATGTCCATGAGATGTCTAGGAGATGTCTACAATATGTCCATGAGATGTCCATGAAATGTCTTGGAGATGTCCATGAGATGTCCATGAGATGTCTTGGAGATGTCCATGAGATGTCCATGAAATGTCTTGGAGATGTCCATGAGATGTCCATGAGATGTCTTGGAGATGTCCATGAGATGTCCATGAGATGTCTTGGAGATGTCCTTGTGATGTCTAGGATATATTTTGAGGATGTCTAGGACATATATTTGAGATGTTTAAGAGATGTCTATGAAATGTTTTAGAGATGTCTTTAAGATGTCCATGAGATGTCTTGAAGATGTCTATGAAATGTCATCGAAATGTCGTGGAGATGTTTAAGAGGTGTATATGAAATGTCTGAAAATGACTAAGTGATTAAGAGACATCTGTAATAGAAAAGCTGTCAAAGGAACTAACATGTACCAGTTAGGGACTAATGTGTATTTGTGTAATTTTTTTAAAGGGTAGCGCCCTAGTGACCACTTTCGTACCATTTTTTGAGAGTCTGTACTACCCAGCCTTAGCCAATAGCTACCTTCTCAAACATGGTACACAGTAACATATCCAATTCACAGGTTGAAGTAGCCCACAGCCCAAGTACACACTTATCCTCATTAGGTTATCACTCTCCTCTCTTTCCTCTTCACTCCAGTTCTCCAAGTCTCTGAAGCATTTTGGAGAGGAGGAAGGTCGCATGCAGCCGGATGAGTTCTTCGGTATCTTTGACATCTTCCTGCAGTCGTTCAGCGAGGCCCGACACGACCTGGAGAACATGCAGCGACGCAAGGAGGAGGAAGAGCGGAGAATACGCATGGAGGCCATGGTACAGTACACAATACTCAAAATACACACAGAGATGTTTACAGGATCCAGAGATAAAGTTAATCTGAATGATTTCACACTAGCGCTTGGAGGCCCTTCTGTCTTTGCAGCCTCTAATCGTTAACAGCTGTTGTAACATGTCTGTTTTTGTTATTATTTTATGTTCCTTAATAACTTATATTGTTGGTAAAGGTTTTTGCTCAAAAACGGGGCTGTCACCTTTAAAGGGATACTTCACCTCTGGAAAATGGGTCATTTATGTAGAAGAAATGTTAAATTATTTTTTAATTTGGAGTTTTCTAGACTGAGAAAAGCCAGAAAATGTATTTTTGGCTCATATGGATGAAAGACAACAACTCCCAGAATGCACTTGCTTCGCTGCCCTAGGAGGCCACGCCTACCGGTAACAGAGTGCAGTAGTTTAACATCAAGTCTAGGCTACAAGTGAGTCTCTGTGATGAGTCTGCAGTTGCGTCATATCCAGATATATTTGCGATTGTGATGTCACAAAGCTCCCGACATCCAAACAAGCCAGTTTTAGAACTTTAATTTAAATAAATGAAGAGTTCAGATGCAAAAGCCTCTAAGTGCCATTTGAAATTTTCTTCTAAAATGATCATTTTTATCAAGCTTGTATATTTAAGTTCAGTGATTTCACTTAAATGGCAATGATAATTACCTATTAATTGTTATTTAAGTGAAATTACTGAACTTAAATATACAAGTTTGATAAAAATCATCATTAAAGAAGAAAATTTCAAATGGCATTAAGAGGCTTTTGCATCTGAACTCTTCAAATGTTTTTTTTTTTTGTTAGCTATTTGACATCGTCTCTGTTCATTTATCCACCCCAGCTGAAGGACCAGCGGGAACGAGAGAGACGAGTGAAGAAAAGCGTGGGCGGCAGCGTGTCAGAGGAGGTGGGAGAGTTCGATGATCTCGTGTCGGCGCTTCGCTCAGGTGAAGTCTTTGACAAGGACTCGAAACTTAAACGCAACCGCAAGCGCTCTGTCAGCCAGCTGGTGGATGGAGGGGGTCGTGAAAGACCAGTCACCAAGGTGAACTATTGACCCCAGTCAAAAGGAGACCAGACTTCCTACATTCACAGACTGACGGGGATCTCTCCTGAAATGTTGTACGCTGCCCCATATTTGACATTTTTGCTCATGGACAGGCTCACTGTAAAATATTCTGGACATATGTGAAGGATATCTCTCTTGTTTCTGCTTCTCAGTCTTCCTTCTTTTCATGTACACTCAAACCAACATCTTACTGGTTTTTGTGGCACAACCTGATGTTCAATAAGTTCAAGAAGAGCAATCTCACAATACAAGAAGGATCACTTGTCAACCACCCAAGGTTATTGTCCATTCCCTTGGAGATCGAAAGAAAGTCCCACTTTTTTGGAAGTCTGGTACCTCGAAACTTCGGATCCAACTGTGCTTTTTGATCTAAAGGACGCAGCTGGTGCTTCTTAAACATGAAAATGCCGATAAAAAAGGAAATAGATGTTGGGATTGCCACATATGAAATGTAACACTGTGGATGCAGCCTTACAGGTTGGGATAGTCCTTCCCCAAGTGCCTCAACACTCCTGGATGGAGAGAATAACACTTACAGTGGAAGAATAATACAAAACCGGAAGAATTATGACATTATGAATGCAGAAATTCGAGCTCCTTTACATACATTGTGTCAAACAGTTAAAAGAGCCCATAGGATTTATATGTCGAAGCAAACCCGCTCTCATATTTCATCTTTTTTTTTTTTTTGTGTCTTTTTCTTTGAACGCTTCAAGGTACACCAAAGTAACACAATAATGCATCTCCATCAGGTTGTTACCGGAATACTTTTGTGGCCTTGAATCGGTCATAAATGTCCCAGCTTTCATCCAAAACGCTCTTCTGGGAAGGAAGGGACAGTGACGTTTGGTTTAAACTTTAAAGAAGTGGTTAGTACACCGTGTGTCTTTTTCAGGTTAACATACTGAACCTTTGGGCCTTGATTATATTACACAGAATGATGCCTCACATATATCTAAATGTTTATTGAGAAACACTAGGTACACTGCTATTTTCCACGTCTGGAAAAAGAAAGAAAGTCGTCTCCTAGATGTCAGACTTGATCTCGAGGACAACATTGCGTAACCCACTTTGGTTTTCTTGTTTATTATATATTGTGCATATTTTTTTTAAACATGTATATAAAGTAGCTGTAGTCAGGACAAAGGTTGCAGTTGGCATGAAATGGCAGAGAAAAGACACTGACAGACATCTGAAGAAGAGATGTAGGGTCCACTGAGCTACGAGCTGTTTGTCGGCCTCCTGTCGTCGGCCCATATGGGGTCACAGCGGGCGTTCTGTATAATTCGATTGTGTTGATCTTTTAAGAGACGGTTAAATATGGACACAAATGGTGCTAATTGGTACAGCCATCTCTGCGCCCCCTGACCCAGCTTAAGAAACAAGATGGCTGTCTGTCTGTATGAGAGAATGGGCTTTGGTATATCCATATTTCGGGATAATTTATTAACAGTCTAAAAAAGTGCCATTACAACGGGCCAGTGCTGTCATTCTCTCTCCTCACTTGCATCAGCTCATTATGTGTACTTATTATTTAGATTTAATAATTGAAAGGTGTATATTTATGTATATTTTGTCAATGGTGTACCTATATACCAAATTGCAGTCCCGTCTGGTTTGTGAGTAATCACTTATTATGAGTCAGTGTGATGTGTTTAACAGTTAAAAAGAGCACAGAGCATTTAGAAAAAGACAATTATTGCCTATTTAAATCTGAACGTTTCAGTTAGCTTTAACTGTAATTAGTTTAATTGCACTTCCCCGTGGAGATCTTCCGGCAAAGTCCTAAAGCTTGAGCCGATTCATTTGAGATCACGCACAATTAGGAATGTGGGTTTGCACAATTTACCGAAATGAATACGATGGCATTTACTTTTTTATATAATCTTACATTTGATTAATTATCTAAAAAAAAAAATGATCTCCTTGCCAAATTAATATCGGGGTGTTTTGGGCTATTTTTTATTTCCTTTACGTCTTTATTGTTCTCGTCATGGTTTTTGCAGACACCTTTCCAGATCCACCGAGTATTCAAATCTTCAGTATTATTATTTTTTTGTATGTATGTATGTATGTATGTATATTTGGTCATTGATTGTCCAAAACAGAAAGGAAAAGATGTAGCTATAGTTGCTTGATGCACTTTCTTGTAGGACAAACTTTTCCTGCACCACAAACCCGAGGAGCCAAAGGCTGATGAAAAATATGAAAATTGAAGTATATTTTTGTAGTTAAGAAATCAGGCCTTAGTAAATATGTGTAAATGTATCCAATAATCCAAGTTCCATTGTTTTTTTGTTTTTTTTTATAACACTAAATCTTTTGTTGGATTGAATATTGATAGATATGATATGGGCCGTGATATGAAGGGTAAAGAAAATTAATTATCTTCTATAGATGTTATAATGAATGACAGTCTGCATCTGAACACAGCAAGAAAAACTGCCTAAATGTATCACTCACTTTTATATCTAGATATTTTTGAAAGAATGTTTTGCCTCACACTTCTGCTTGGTCCAATAATGCACTTGATGTTTTCCCTATTGGCTCGAGTTGTGCATAGGTGTGTTTCTTCGATAATACCGGTGTATTATTATGATTATCTGTGACATGAAACGCTCCACCCCTGGTTTTGAGGTTGTGACTGATTTGACACAATAGATGTATAGTTCTCAAATCTTTTGTACACCATTATAGACACCAGATAAGGTCAAATTAAAGTCTGAAGAATGTGGAAATGATTTTTCCCCCTGGAAATTGAAGCTCTATTTATTTAGGTTGCTATATTTTGTATGTATACACAACATTATGACAGAAATGGTATAAACTATATAGTGATTGATATTTGTCAGATAGTTTGTATGAGAATGGAAAGCCAGGATTGGGTGACATCACTCCTGAGGTCCAGTGTCCCGTCGAGTTGAGATAAACACACAGTCTGTAGCTTTAGTGACCGTGCAGATACGCTTGTTCAGGTCAGGAGTGTTTCATTAGAACTGGAGGCGAAGTTTGCAAGACATTGAGCCTCCGGGACAGAAGTTGCGCATCCCTGATTTATATATTAAGGTTTGACCCTCAGACAGACCCTCCTGATCCCCCTTTCCATGTGACATTTTGTAGAGTAAAAATAAACTTGTTTCACTGAAGCTCATTTTTGTATTATTATTGGAGTTACACTCCTGTAAAGCTGGCTCTTAAATCATTTATGCTATGAATATCCCAGGCGAACAGTCTTCCTTTCATTCAGGGATGGCAGTTTTCACAGATGAAGAAGTTTTTACGGTGTAACACTGCCCTCTTCTGAACAATCTGCAGTTTACAGGCCAACATTATTAGGAAATCCTTGCAAGTCAGTTTATATGACTTTACACAGTACGTTAAATAATTCTTTAAAAAAAAATAAGTCTACCAAACAAATCAGGTGGATCTGTCATTCAAACATTTTATTATTGCAGTTAGAATCTGGAGCAAATTATACATTCTAAACTAGCAGTCGGCAACGCGTCATAGTTGGGGGGCGTGGTCGGCGTGGGGAAAAGCAGCGCGACCATCGTAAATGTCGTATTGCGGCCGGTCATTGATTCCTGCCGACCGGCAAAGGTACATTGCAAAATGAACTGTCTGTAATAGGTTATGATTGCCCTTTTTAAATTAAAAACTGGGTCAATGACCCAACCAAATGGCCGGAGGTGTCGTTTCCAGACTAGTGTTATCTGGTTGAATCCATGGTTGAATCTCCAACTCTATAATTACTAAACACACAGCGCCACCCGTCGTGACAGAGGGAATGTGCATCAAGTTTTAACAGCAAAGGTGTTTACAGTTGAAAGGCTAATAGTCCAATTCAAATTTGTAATCCAATCTCATTACTTTAATGTAAGAAAAATTAATAAAGCATGTATATAAGCTATATAGAAACAGTAAATTAAAAATAAATTGAAAACACAATTTACAGATTTTTTTAATTATCAAAAAAAAATATATGGAACTGTATAAACTTCATAATTGTTCATAAACAAGAACATGTTGCTATTTATGATCTCAAATTTCAATTTATTAAATATTGAAACTATGATCTAATAATGCAATCACATTGCAGGACTGTTTAGAGCATCTAAAATGTCTCTAGAAATAGTACCACAATGAATTAATGTAAGCAATTGGTTACAATAGAGGGATCAATGATTCAAGAATTATCTTTACATGGCATATAGTGAAATTAGTTTGTGTTTATCTGTTCATCACACTGTAAAAAATATTTTCAAGATTTGTTATCACAACATATTTTCTTTTGTCAAATCAACTTTATAATAATTTATTTCGTTGAGATAACTTATTATTTTGAGTTTCTGATGGTTAAATTAATCTACTTCATTGTATTAACTCACTTTTTCCAGTTCAATCAACTTAAAATTTTAAGGCAACCCAAGTTACTTACTTTTTTAAGTTAAACCCACAATATTTTTTTACAGTGAATTTTGTCAAATCAACTTAAATAATTTATTTAGTTCAGATAACATACAATTTTGAGTTTCTGATGGTTAAATTAATCTCCTTCATTGTATTAACTCACTTTTTCCAGTTCAATGAACTTAAAATTTTAAGGCAACCAGGTTACTTACTTTAAGTTAAACCATCAATATTTTTTTTTACAGTGCATGCATTTGACAATATTAGCACATCCTGAATCTTCACTGTTTAGTTACACTCAATTCACGTGAATTATTAGAGAGATTGATTTCTGTTTATTTGTCAGGCTCACATCTCAGTGTGTTATAATGTTATACATAATAAAAATATCATCAGAAAATAATATATTTACATCTTGGAAGAACTGACATTCATTTTACTCATTTTATTTCACGATTATCCCCTTAGAAATAATCTATAAACACATACAGGAACGGTCAAGATCACATGATCTGTAACCAAAACTGATGAAGTTTTTGTTTTACTATCTAATATGATGGGGTTGAAGTTTATCTCAAGTAGTTGTTAGCGAGATCATTTGGTTAATATTAAGTTTGAAGGATTACTTATTGCAATGTCAGAGCTGAATGCTATTTTCTTGGCAAGAAAATCAATCAATCAGCCATATATAGATATAGATGTACAAACCAGCCAGTAAATAGCATTGGCAATGCCTGACAGCACTTATGTCACTTGATATTATTGACATTTGCTCCAATTCAGTTGCAGGAAAGCAGTCAAGCACAGACAGAACAGACAGACACTCAGACAGATATAAATCAGTGCATGAAAATGAATGAGAAATATTGGCTCTTAAACAGCACAACAACAGGAGTATTGTGTTTTATGCAGTGAAGTCTCATCTAAACACTCATGGTAATCTTATCTCATAAAGAGAAAATTAAATTAAATAAGATTCTTAAATTGTAAAGATGAAAACTGATCACATAGGAATATGTTAAGAATAACTTTTTTCTGCTTATATCTCCTCTGTCCCATCAGCATTAATCGAACATAAACACACTTTTTTTTTTGTTCGAACAGCAGCAGTTTGAACAGAAAACTGATTTACAAATGATGTCCCTCTGTGTTTTTTGTTTTTTTTTTACAAAATGGACTTTGAACAGATTTATAATATAAAATGTAACCATCTATACAGATACGGATAAGGAAAACAAAGTGGCTTGAATCCAAGCAATTAAATACATAAAAAACTAAATGTTATCTGCATCTGTCCCTGAAAAATCAACAGTGAGTGATTTGATTATGCCTATTTCTAATAATATTGCTATTGCTAAATCCTATTGCTTTTTTTAAACAAAAAAAAATAATGCTATTAAATGTTTCAAGTGTTTTTCTGAATTACCCTATATAGACTTATTTACATAGACAAAAGACTATGTGAACATACATTATAAGTGATTTTCACTTCCTAATTAAAACTTCTTGCTGACAAATGGGTTAAACCGGTTTGGAGGATAGTTAAACATTATCCTTAATTTGTATTTGGGGTCTGCCGGGATCCTTAAATGGAGTCTTTTAATATGTCTTTAGATTGTTTCAAATATGCCTGACAAGATTTTTTGGTATAAACTATCATTACACTGAATGATATTTTAGTTGGTAGTTAAATCATGTTTAAAACATATGGTAATGATTTTTTTTTTTTTTTTGCTCAGGAAAATCTAAAATTAAACTATGCCAAAAATCACTAAAACTCAATCTAAATTTGACAAATACATTTTCTTGTTCCTAATAATCATAAACATAATGCAGGTGAAATTGTAATTTGAACTGCAGCAGTGCTAAACTGCTCAATGCATCATAATTAACAACACAAACACTCAAATCTTTTCCATGCATCATTTTATTATCCATGTGGTTACAGATAAATCATATAAAACAGTGAAATCGCACTTCACCCAGTACTTTCTCCCTCACCATTCCAGACATTCACCCTGCAAAAACGCATTTTTTTGGAGGCAGCATGCAATCCCCCCATCTGAACCTAAAAATTAATACTTGGAGCTAAAATAAAATTTTAAAAAATCATGAAATACACAATAATCTTCAAAAAAACAAAAACAAAGGCTTGTCAGACCAAATCGAGTTAAACTATTTGTTGCAATTAAACAAGTACATCGATAGGTTGAACTTCCACAAGGTGCAGATGATACAGAATAGAAATATATAGATGGACATAAATGACAGAATAAGGTTCACAAAAACATCCCTCAGAATATCCTCAAATACAATCACTTTTTATTGACTAACTCATAAATTTGATACTTTTAACTTGTCATTTAAAAAAAAAAACGTTCATTTAACTAAAAAATATTGTAAATGTCTGACACTTGAACATGTTACTTCAATCATAACCAATCATACCCCTGATGTATATGAGCAGTGGCGTAGGTTTGATTTTGAAGTTGGTGGGGACCGGGACATCATACATATATTTTACGTTTTGGTCGAAATTATTGCTAGGGAAATACCAGTATCACTGAATATTAGTAGGGAGTAGGGACACATCCCTAGCGTCCCTACTAAATTCTACGCCCCTGTATATGAGTATATGATTGATTTAAATGTCAATATTTTAGATGCTATTTTAGATGTTCAGATATTTGATACTGTCAGACACAGATGTGTATAGCGGGAGGCTAAATGAAGCACAAACCCAGAACATTAATGTAATCTCCGCTTCTTCCCACAATGCCGTAACACCTTCCAGATTTCACATCCACACTCACAGGCTCACCCAGGCGAGCACACTTAGCAGAGAATGACTCTCTTTCACCATTGATTTTGGCAACCACAAATTCCACACCCCCACAACTGGTATGATTAATATTTGGCCACAGTGTTGCAGCAACAATTTTATCACTTTCATCAAATCGAAATGTTTGTTCATTAGATCCTATTGTTGATACTTTACCAACATTCAACATTTGCCCATCATGTAAATTCACCTGGATTGAGTTCAGTGTCATCTGAAAAGCACAGATGTATTTAATGTGAATCAAGTATAGCTAAATAAAAACAACCTGATTCAAATAGCAGAAATCAAAGAAGTTAAATTAGAAAAAAAAAAAGAAAGAATTACCCACCTCGCTGTAAGCAATGGTGATCTGCGAAATGATGTTGGGAAAGAATTAAATTCCAAAGGGGAATTCCGAACCTCCCTCAATCACATCTTGTGCTGAGAAAGGAATTAAGGGGGAGATCATTTTTTTATATTTGCTATACAAATTGCAAATTGAATACAGTGGTCAGTCCTGTTTTAAAGGGGTTTAAATACGATGGGAGTTACTAAGGATTTCAGTAACTGAATTTACAGCTTATTGGTGAAGAGGAGATGCAGCCAATTAGAGTGTATTTATGGGGATGATTAGGAGGCCATGATGGACAGTAGCCTGACTACATCAGACTTTCTACTTCCGCTAATTTCATTTCGCTCCTGTAGTGAGTCTGAGATAGCGGCCTATCTTTCAGTTTTCCACCGGCCTGAAAACAGCCGGCCAATCAACGAACAGAGGGCGGGCTGAGAGCCGTGACGTAGACGCTAAGCGCCGAGTTTTGGTTTTACATTGTAGGTTAGAGAAATCGAAAACCGAAACAACCGCAGAAAATGGGAAACAAGACACGGGATGCAATTCGCTCTGTTATGGAGAACATTCCGGGGTTTTTCAAACTGAAGCAAAAGTCGTTTTCAGCCATGTTCACTCCGGTATTTCGCTCGCATCATCAGTGTTTACAGCTAGGACCTGCGCGTGCACTTCTGCCGCTCTAGGCAAAAAACAATTTTGCTGCCCCTCTATTTGCAACGTATAGCAGCAAAAACAGCATGCTTGGCCATTATGTAGCTTGCACAACGCGCATACACTTTTCATTCTCTCATCAACACAGATGCAGCCGTTTTTATTTTTGCAAATCATTATAACAAGGAAAAATATTAACACTTCAAGGCATTTAGGCTACCCAATTGACGGATCAGACCTGTTTGGCCATAACAAATATAAGGACATAACTTACCCCCATTCAACGTCAGTTCTCCGTCTTTTACGGCCATGACAAGAAAGTCGGTCTCCTCGGAACGCTCCTGGGGCCCGTTTCAATAAGGAGGTTCAACCAACTCTGAGTTAAAGCTTGAACTCTGAGTTGACTTACCCTGAGATGGGAAACTCTGAGTTTTCGGTTACAGAACAGCTGAAATGAGTTAGTTCAATCAACTCTGAGTTGACTGACTCTGAGTTAAGCGTGTGCACCACAGCTATAAAAAGCCATTATCAATGGAGCGCAGATATGAGTCACCATGGCAACAGCGCCAGACAAAAAGAGGTGTTGAGTATAATTAATTACCAAGTAATCTAAATATTGTAATTTAATTAAAGGGATTACTCTTAATTATTCTTTAATTTAAAATAAAATATGATGCAATTACATTAAATAGGCTACTGCATAAACTATAGACCAATTCAGTATAAAACAATAGTGGATTTAGCATACATTTTTAAAAGGTATATTTTTATATAACCTTCTCCCTCTACACACTTTGATCAATTCAAGAATAATTCATGCAATTGTATATTGTTAATTTGAAAGCATTAAAAGTGCAGTTTCTTGTCTCTCCTCCTTGTATTAATCAAGTGGTTGAGGTTGATATAGGATTTAGTAATATTTAGACCAATACTTTCTAGAGATAGTAATTATTACATTAATCTAACTACACCGTTGAAGATGTCATTTGTTGTTAATAATTCATAACTATTTTAGAGTAACTGTTATAATATCAGAGGTGAAACTGGAAGAATGTTATTCAACCTAAAGTAGTCTACTATTACTTTGATACATTTTTACTTAAGTAAAAGTAAAAATACCAGTCTAAAAAATCTACTCAAGTAAAAAGTAGTTAATTTAAAACATGAGTAAAAGTTGCTGAGTAACTTGTTTAACAGCGGGGGTGGGGTGGGGGACTCCCCCATGTGGGGTTGTAACCTATGAGAGTTTCACAGTATGAGAACCGTCTCAGAAAATATCACGGTTTATGGTATTAAACAATTGTTAAATATATAAACTGCATTATTAAATTACGGTTATTATTTTCATCAGTTAAAATGACAGTTAAATAAATTAAACATTTGTTCAATAAAACATAATATCAACTAACTTCAATAATTGATTATGATTGACATCTTATTTTTTATCATTAATAACTTATTAAATTTTATTACAATTTTTTCAATGATTTAATAGAAATATATTATCCAAAACAGTGGTAATCAAATAAAAGTTTAGCAAAAGTTTTAATCCTTTTATTTTTTGGCAAAGTGCTGCAAAACAGATTTAGTCAATTAAACCATGGACAAACAATATATATATTCCTTAAAGAATGTGTAAATACATTTTAGTATTATTGTTGGTGTTTAAACAGCACTTCCTCATTAAAAAAGGGGAGGAGACCGCAAGAAACTGCTCTCGACCCGACCAGGTTAGGTTCAGAGAGTAAGTTACCATGGTAACTGACTCTGAGTATAAGTTACCTCTCTTTCAGAAACGGGCTTGACTTACTCTGCTTTCTCGGGTTTGATATACCCCTCTTTCTGAAACGGAAAACCCAGAGTTTCCCTCATTTCAGGGTTAACATACTCAGAGTTTTCACTTAACCTCCTTTCTGAAACAGGCCCCTGGTACGCTCTTATTATCATATTATTATTATTATCATAATAATAATCCACCATATTTCGTTTCGACATCCTGCTGCATTAGTCCCAGAAATGTGTTATTCATGAACGATCTGGTCACGTGACAAATGAACGTAAGACTAGGAAGGTAAAGCGATTATGTATGTTCCCTGTAAATCATTTTTTTTTTACTGATTCTTAATTCAGAATATGATCAACATTGCGTAGGTGGATGTGATCGGGGAATTTGGCTGTTAAAATTATAACATTAAGCCACTTAAATAAACGAAATGACTCAGAAAATCAGTAAAATGAACTACTTCCTAATTCATGACTCTTGAGCAGCGGCTCGTTCTCGCCCTCGCGGCGCTGCGGAAGCTAAATCTGTCATGACTCGTGAGAGCGGGGCAAGCCGAAGTTCAATTCATATAAATAACCTAGTTTGTGAATTGTTCATTCCCGGTTGGCACACATTTTGCAGCCCTTACAAAAGTGCCGCTCCCTGTTTACAGTGGAAGTTCAATCATAGATTTGAGTTCGATGCATAATGTCTCGATGCGGCCGTGTCGGCGCATAACTAGTCTCAGCCTCAGACGTCACGCCCACGGAACGTTGGCTAAACGTCTGATGCATATGGTACACTTAACTGGAAACACTTCAGGAATGTCGAAGTCGTCATCTGATTGGTTGAATTTTATCGGATTTCCGGGGGGGCGTCAGTGTCGCGTTTATTTTCGGTCCGCCGGGAAAAAAAGCGCAGATTTGTGATTGCGGAAAAAAAAACTGTTGTGTTTATATGAGTGACCTATGTGAGTTACAATGAGCATTAATCAAGATCAGCTAAACGTAGTTGTATGTCCCCTCCTATCTATTATTGAAGATCAACGCGGAGCGTTGTTAATGAGCGCCTCCGGTAACTGCTGCTGACTGCTGCTGACTGACTTGTTGCACGCCGGTCTGTTGTTGTGGGGACATTTACACGCCCCGAAACGTGACGCTGAATGAAACGAACTGTAATTGGTTGTTTGACATGTCGGTCAAACGGCCTTATGGGCGGGCCTTGGCCAAAGAAAGCTGCTATGAATTCCAGACCTTCAGCCGTCAGTCTGAAGGTCTGGCTACGCGAGACTAGCGCATAACATACGTCATAAATAAACTTATCTGATTGGCTTACGGGTAACCAATGATTTTAAACTTAAAGAGAAGCGCCCCCTTGCGAGAGAGAAAACACTTCTCTATTATGCTATTCCAGACTCTGTCTACGAAGCAAAGTGAAGTAGCAGAGTCTGGTATTACCAGGCTAGATGGACAGGGCAACTGGGCAAATTTGGCCAGGATGCTGGGTGTGTGCACACACCCCTAAGTGTGGCATCCCTTAGCCCTGCGAATTTGTAGAATTGGTTTCTTAATGCGAGTGGGTTCATTCCCTCAGAAATTAGTGCAAAATACTGTTAAAGCCAGTAAAGAAAAAATTAAATGATTTAAAGGTATTAAAAAATGAGTGTCTCCCTAAAGGAACTTCGTCTGTTCATGATGATTTAGAGTGGGTAATAAAAATTCAAGGCAGAAACATGCTCAAATCACAACTTGCTGTGATATTGGTCTATAACTACCACAGGAGTGGGTTCTTTATCCTTAAGGAGCAAATAAATAGAGGCCTCAGATTAACCAGGAGCAATTAGGAGTCATTATAATACTTTGCTAAAGTTGGGGGAATAATCATTTTTACACATGTTTTTCAGTCACTGCCAATAAGGTTAGATGTGCTATAGTTCTAGTCAGAGGATGATAACTCAGATTTTGAGGGTTCTAAATAATTTTCTAAGAAGAGTGAAGTTACTAAAAGCCATGTAATATTCACAATAAGCACACATTCACTCATTATGTTATGTCTGATATGATGAAAACTGCAACATTAAAGTCTCTGTCTTTGCTTGTCACATTCGTGGTTAGGATTTACTTCAGGAATTGTGTGACAAATAACTTAATTACATTCCAATAAATAAGTTCAGTTTGCCAAAGGTGAGCATCCCTAGATATTACTGTAAATTGTTTAACCTTTTTTTTTAATTTTTTTTTTCATGAAACAGTTGACCAATCCCTTTATTCATTCATTATTAATAAAATGTGCAGATGACACTCACCTGAAAATGTTTCAGTGCTGACAGTATCACTGGCTTCACTCACTCCCAGTATACCCACAATCCTGCAGCGGATCAAGTAGTGCTTTCCAGATTCCAGTCCAGTCAGAGTAACGTCCTTATCTTCTGTGTTCATGACAAGCCACTGTTCCTCCTCAGCTTTGACCTGCTTGTACTCTACTCTGTACTTCTCTGTTTCTCCACTTGGAGACTTCTGCAGTTTCAGGGACACACTTTGTTTCTGGACATCATTCACTATCGGTGGGGGCGGCTTGGACACGGGCTGGAACTGTCTGTCTGTCAGATTCCCTTTTTTGTACAAATAGATCGAGGAGCCTGGATTGGAGGGATCAGAGACAGCAGGGCCTTGATTGGAGGGATCAGAGACAGCAGAAATAATGAAGCGGATTCTCTTATCATCTTTATTGGCTTCTGATATGTCTCTGAAGATAGACAAGTTCTCTCTCATCTTCTTTATTATACCAGAATCTTTGAACCATTTTCTGTCAGATGCCTCCTGAAGCACACTTTTGTTTCCATCTTTAAACATATCAGATTTCAGGAACTCTTTCAGGTTTGAAAGATACTTTTCTTCATATTTCAGAGATGTGAAGGTCAAACACACCACAACATCAATATCAGGATCAAGGAGGATGTTGTTCAGACCATCAGAGTCTTCAATCCTGATCTGCTTCAGTGTCTTGGTGTGAGAACTCAAGAGGTTCAGTTCAGACTTTGCATCATTTAACCACTGATTGAGCTTGTCAGCCTTAAAAGGGGAGCCGTCATGGGTCTTCAGGATGTCTGCCAGTGACTGTTCCTCCTTCCCACCTCCTCGAATATCAGGCAAGACCTTGGCCACTGCTTTCTGGAACACAGTCTTATAAATGCTAAATGAGTCCTGAAATGAGTGCAGCCTCTCTTCAATGTCACTGAAAACAGTTACCTCTTTTCTTTTGGACAGGTCATTGCATGTCTTCTCTACGTCTCCCAGCTCCTCCATTATACCTTCAGTGTTGGAAACCAGATTTGTGCTGATTTCTCTCACTAACCGAGCGGATTTTGAGTCCAATAAATTAAGAGGATAAAGCCAGACCTTTATTGGAACTGCATTCTGTGGATTCTCCTTCAGCAGAGTTGGGAGCTTCTTGTACAAATCCAGGGCCTCCATGTATGTGGTGGGGTTCTTCTCAAGATGAAAGTCACCATGAAACGTGCAGGTGATGTTCTCAGCAGTTTTTTTGTCTTCATCTGTCAGTTTTACAGATGCGTCTCCCTCAATAGAAAAGTTAGGAATCTTCTTTACCGCTGCTTTCAGTTTCCCCTCAATGTCCTGCTTGCTTTCATCTTCTGTAGACATCTGATCAAACACCAAGAAGGCCTGGGCTCCGTACAGAACAGCCGTGACCACATGAGTTGCAGTTTTGTGGTCAAGCTTCTGAGGGTAGGTGATGTGGCTAAGCTGGGTCATGGTGAGCTGGTCAAATCTGGAGGTCTCGCTATAATGCATTGTAACTCGGGACTGGTTGTGTGAGGATTTTGTGTCACGCAGGTATTTGCCAGATCCTTCAACATCCACCATTCCCCCTTCGAAGCTGAGCTTCAGGGAAGCACTTATATCCATGAGATCTGCCTTACTAGAGAGAGAGTCAGAGCTACTGAACTTCAAATCTGTCATGAGCTGTGGACGACTGTCCAATTGTTTTTCAGTCAATGATTCCTTATCCCACAGAGTAACACCTGAAATAAGAAGTGGCTTTAACAGTTGTGTATGAAAGTGATATAGTGTAAATGTGCAGGTCTTATATGTAGCCTTTTTGAAAATTCAGGGCCATAAAAAAACAAAAAACAATTCAACAACAAGGACTATTCCGGCGCAAAATGAACCTAGGTGTAATTAACACATGGTTACCGAGTCGACCGCTCTCTGTGATGTGTTTTCATGATAATCGAATGTAAAGAGTTTTATCTCTAAAAACTGATTAGCTTATAACTAGTATATAGGGAACATAGTGGTATTAGTGATTTCTTTTTACTTACTAACAAGGCTCAAAATAGCCTCACACTAACACAGTAGCATAATGGGGGTCCTTACATGCATTAAAAATCTAATGAGTGAGCATACATTTCGGTGAGATAAACGTAGTAAGAACCTTTTCTTTTAAAAATGTCTATCGTCATAAATATCCTTATCTTACATATTCTTAAAATATTGTGATCTAAGGTTTTTAATCGTGACTACGGTTTGTAATAAATGGTAAATTTAGGACATTGGGGCAATTACCTACATGGTCAAGTAAAAAACTCTGTAGTTACATATTATTTGATTCCTCACTGAAGTTTGCTAAACAGATAAAAACTGTGGTCCGGAACTGCTTTGTTTTTATTGTCTAAGGACAATAGCCAAATTAAAATAGATTCTCTCAACATGTGACTTGGAAAAAGTAATTTATGCTTTTATCTTTTCATGGTTAGATTTATAGCAATTCCATTTACCTTGGGACTTGTAATTTGGATATCGCACGTCTCCAGTTAGCTCAAAATGCTGCTGATTGCTTATGAATGTAAAGAAGACAGATCATATATCACTCTTTTGATATCCTCATTGGGCTGGTTACCTGGTTACAATATAGGATTCATTACAAGATGACGCTCCAGAATACTTGGTTGAGTTCATCAAGGCCTCGTTTACACAAAGGGAAAAGACAGATATTTCCCTGCAGTTTGGCCTCTCATTTACACGAAAACCCAGTTTTTATCACCGAAAATGATTATTTCTAAAAACTCCTATGTGCTGTCGTGTCAACTGGGAGAAACAGGGTTTTAGGTTCTCTCTTGTCGATTCTGAGGATTCTGATTGGCTTGCATGGCTTTATCCTTCTTCCTACACTGCCGCCAATAGGGCTTGGGCGCCGTGTTGCATTCTGGGACGTGGCGGCCATGTTGACAGCTTCGCAAATGTAAACATACCAGCATCGAACGAGGAGAAGCAGCTAAATTTGGAGAAAGAAAATAAAAAAACGATGTTAAAATCACTGAAAGGATGCGGAATTTACCGGGATACGTTTAACAGGGAAACCAGGGACTGGTATGTGGATAAAACGGCACTTTTAACGGGTTGGATCCATTTGAAATTTCCAACAAACAGTGGGAGCACAGTACGTTACGCTAACTTAATCCGGACAAAGGTAAAATGCGCTCCACCGCTGCTAGTTTAGTAACAGTTATAGTGCTAACAACCATTCACACATGTAACATTACTTTTAACAATTTGTTTCAAAAGTGTAGTTAGAAACGTTAGCTGTTTAAAGCAAAACGATGCTTAAAGTAAGAGGGTAGCAACAGGACAACAGAGACTGACAGGTCCGATTAAAGGGCTAATATTAATGTTATGAGAATATTAAAATACGGGATATTTTAAAGGAAATTACTAAAACGGGAAGACAGCGGGAAAAGAGCTCAAGTGCGTGAGAAACCTGGGAAAAAACGGGAGGGTTGACAGCTAACGTTACTAACTATCTGTCCGGATTACTGTGTTCCCACTGTTTGACGACTCTTTGTTGGAAATTTCATATGGATCCAAATCGTTAAAAGTACTGGTTTAGTCCACATACCGGTCACTGGCTTCCCTATTTAACATATCCCGGTAAATTCTGCATCCTTTTAGGGATTTTTACCATTTTTTTTCTTTTCTTTTATCCCAACTCGTTCGACTTGCTGTATGTTAACATGCGCGAAGCTGCCAACATGGTCGCCACGCCACTAATGACGTCACGACGCACAAGCCCTATAGGTTTGGCATAGTTATAATGGCACTCGACGGCGTATTTATGCGGGTGTGTGCACGATGTTATTTTTTGAAAATGGAGAAGGGGAAAATATTTGTTTCTCTAAATAGCCGGCATTGTGTAAACGTGGCCTAAGACTTATAAGGCAAATATGTCACTAGATCCTCAAATTGCAGGAATCAAGTTACGTTCCTCTGCTTTTTCCCTCTCTTTCTTGTGCGCTCTCGCACACCTGTATCCATTCTCAATCAGCACTCTCTCTCCTGCTCCCTCTAACCAGACAGTTTCTGGTCTCATTGACTTCCATCCTAGGCTACTATGGAAGTCAATGGGACCAGAAACTGTCTGGTTACTGATATTCTTCTAAATGGATTCTGAATGGATTCGAAAACGGTAAAACAACTGTTTATCTCTGGGGGAGTTGTAAAATGTAAAATGACCCACACTGCAAGGCTATTGCATAATGCATCTCTAATCCTGCCACTCAGGTACGGTAAATTTAGCAATTGGGTGAAAGGGGGACCAGAAAACACAAAATACAAAAGTATACAACACCTGGAATGAAGGAATCCTTGCGGCAGTCATACAGCATACCAGGAAACAGAGGTCTTCCTAGGGCTGCAACTTTGATTGGCTCTGATTGCATGGCTCTATAATGAAAAAAAAAAAAAAAAAAAAAGATTAAATATAAAAATTGTCACCTTTGCTTTATTATTCTAAAATTCTTTTAAAAAGTAAGTTAACAGATTAGCAGGTACAAATAGTCCCCCAGCACAAATTTTTTCTCATTTATTCAGTCTTTTTATTTTATTTTTTAAGATCCCATTTAACTGTGTTTTTTTTTATTAGTTCTCATTTTTTTAAAATTCTCTTAAGAATATATACGTGAACTAATTCAATGTTTTTAAAAAATTGTGTTGTGTGTGTGTGTGGATGTTATTTTACTGTCTGTCGTGTACCAAATCATTTTGATATTATTTGGAGCTTAAAGAATGTGGTTCGACCTGTGTTTTTTTTTTTTTTTTTTTTTGTGGTAACTTATCACAAGTGTTCCTGGATTGCCTGAAAAGTTATTTTAATTGTCCAAAATGTAATATGAATTAGGTCTTCTATTTTACCATTTTCCCTGATGCATTCTCCTCTGTCGGGATTGGTTTAACTTATTTAACTTAACGTTAAAGGTAACCTGCATCTTATGCAGATACAAAGTTTGTGGTGATTTTTGTCAGTATTTGAGATTTCACAACAGCATTATAGCCTATTATTATTCAAATTTAGAATGTAATGCTGTAAACACTGTAAACATTTTTTTGTTTTACTCAAACACAACTGCCTTATATCACTGCTGATTTAATGAGCCACCTTAACGTTATAACAATTAACAAACTTAGTGATGTTAATGTTAAACTAAGAAATGTTAATATCACATGAACGGTTTATTTCCATTTTTTTCTGTATTTTGCACACCGTTACAGAAAGTAATACGGAAACACTGTTTTTTTTAAATAGTCTGCGAGGTCACAAATATATTTATAGAAATGTGTACTTAAAGGTAATAAATAAAAATCTGAAAGAACATTTTACAGATTTTCTGTAATGCTTGAAGAACAATTTGCAATTTTGCAAAGCATAACTTGATAAAATGTTTTGTCATTTTAACATTTTTTTAGAAGAAGTTCTTCTGGCAGCTTGCCTCCTGAGTGGCCTTCAAACCAGGTCTTGATACACTGGTAAGGACTTTTCCTTTAAAGAAGTCATACTAGATCAGTGCGTTCATCTTTCGTTCATCTTCACTTTCATTCATCTTACAGTAGGAACACAAATTAAGGTATTTTTGATTAAATCTGAGAGCCGGCTCACTCCTTCATAGGCTGCAAAGTAATCGATTTCTGCCATTCCAGAAAAGTTAGTAAAGACATTGTTAAAATACTCCAAGTGACTACAGTGGCTCAACCTTAAGTTAAGATGAGAATACTGTTTGTGCGCATAAAACAAAACAAAAATAATGACTTGATTCAACTATTCATTTTCTTCTGTGTGGGCCTCGAGTGAGTTCACGTACTGTACGTCAGAACGGAGGCTGGCTCACTATTGGCCAATGCTGGTCATGTGTGTGATGCTTGCCAATAGTAAGCCTACGTTCTGACGTACTCGCATTGTGTTATAAAATTGAGATTTTTACCATTAGACTTGCATGGATTACTTTGTCTTTCTTACCTCTCTGGGGCTTTAACGTGCTAGATGCTTAGGCTGCCTATTGAGGAACAGAAAGCTCTCAGAGTTAATTAAAAATACCTTCATGTGTTCTGAATATGAACAAAAGTCTCACAGGTATGGAATGACATGAGGGGTTAGTAATTAATGACATATTTTAAATCTTTGGGTGAAGTAACTCATTAACAAACTTATTTTTTACTGTTTTATGATCTTGAACTTGATCATCTTCTTTTTTTATTTACTTTTAGAATCAATCAGATGTGACAGCAATTCACACTCTTGTGCTTCGGGGCTTAACTATCCTAGGTCATACATGGGCAACATACGGCCCGGGGGCCGGATCCGGCCCGCATAGTGCTTTAATCCGGCCCCCGCGATGCACTCGCAATTTGGATGAAACACACACCGCCTTAAAAAATAAAATAAATAAAAATAAACACCGTCTTTATGTGAATTGCGATCCTGCTATTAAAAATGCCGGGAAGGCTGGTGACTTTCCAGAACTTAAATATTCCGACTGGATGTTTGACTTTGCCTTTTCTGTGGATTTAATGGGCCATTTGAATGACCTCAATAGGAAGCTGCAGGGGAAGGATGTGTTCGTGCACAAACTGTATTCCTACGTGCAAGCATTCAGAGCAAAGCTGACTCTGTTTTCCCGGCAAATGACAAACAAGAGCTTTACACATTTCCCAACTCTTGCCACAATAAATGTGCCATCCCGACTCACTGTCAAATACACCACTACAATCGAGGATCTGCACACTGAGTTCAACAGGCGTTTCTCTGATTTCGGTAAAATAGAAAAAGAGATGGAGCTGGTGTCCGCCCCCTTTTCCTTTGACAGCGACCAAGCGCCTGCGGACGCTCAGCTTGAGTTGATTGACATGCAGTGCGATCCCTCTCTCAAGGAGAAATTAACCTCGTCATCATTGGACAGGTTTTATAGTGCATTGAACGAGGGCAAGTTTCCTAACATGCGGAGGCATGCGCAAAGGATAGTTTTATTCGGGTCCACGTATGTATGCGAGCAGACTTTCTCTGTAATGAACTTTAACAAGTCACGCTACAGATCACGACTAACCGATGCACACCTGTAGTCCGTGTTGCGCATCTCTACGTCGAACACGACCCCAGATTTCGATGAGTAAAGAAAGGCGACCGCCTCAATTGTTCACATTGAGTTACAGAACACCGACAAAACGCTCTTCATGGTCATCTCAGTTGCATAGGATGAAATACATTTTTCTAAAGTAGCCTATGTTTGGCTAGTTCCATCAAGTTACCCTTGATTGGTGTTATTTTTAAAACATTTTTCAGTTTCATGTTGCCATGTTTCTTATGCATGTCCCGCGTAGATGGTTATGATACAGCTAAATCAAATTTAAATTTTGTGGGATGCCTATTTCAATGTTGTCCTTTATATCGTTCAAGCAAACATATGTTTGAAGTTAATCTGCACTCAAATTGTGTTCTATTTTATAAAAGATTTGAACAAAATATGTGACAGAAATTACAAAAAATGAATAATCACAAATGAAATCAGCTGAAAATGTTTTTTATTCTGAAGTTCTCCCTCTGGTGGTATATAGCCTCAATAAAATTTGATAATTCCAAGCCAGATTGCCTGAAGTCTGTATCAGTATGCTAATAAATTTGCACAAACATATATTTGCAGTTTTGTTAGTAGTTTCTATCTTGAATAGCTACAGCTGGTATGAATGACAGTTGAACAATATGCTGGGTAGTGTAGGAAATTAATGCTTGAAAGTAAATCCAGTTAGTAGCTGTAAATAACTGTAGAGACATATTCGTATACAAAAATTGTATACTTGCATTGAATTAATTTGTATCAATTAAATCATTTAACTATGTTCAATTGCAATTGTCCAAAGGGTGGCCCTCGGGTTACTTTGCCAAAGTAACTGTGGCCCTCAGACTAAAACTGTTGCCCACCCCTGTCCTAGGTAATACCAGACTCGAGGGAAATGAAATTAGCGGAAGTAGGAAGTCTGATGTAGTCAGGCTATACTGTAACTATCCTGCTTGGTGATGATGCCAGTAACTTCTACAACACCTGCAATGTAAGATCTCACTGTAAACATTTTTGAAAGGGTTACTTACTTCTTCCAAAAAAAAAAAACATTTAATTGGCAGCGCTACACTGAAGTAAAGAAGAATACATGATAGGGGTGTAACGGTACACAAAAATCACAGTTTGATACGTACCTCAGTTTTAAAGTCACGGTTCAGTACATTTTTGATACAGCAAGAAGAAAGAAATGCCAGAGAAATTTTGTTAAAAGAAAAAATCTTTTTAAATAAGTGTGAGTTTTCCTACATCTTCCAACGTCTTAATCTTTGAAGGATGAACAAATAATGTTTTCACAAAACAATGATGAACAAATAATGTCATCACATCACAGTAGTCTAAGACGCAGCTAAGTACATCTAAAGTAAAATATCAAGTATACTTTATAACGTTAAGGTGGCTCATTAAATCAGCAGTGATATAAGGCAGTTGTGTTTGAGTAAAACAAAAAAAATGTTTACAGTGTTTACAGCATTATATTCTAAATTTAATAGGCTATAATGCTGTTGTGAAATCTCAAATACTGACAAAAATCACCACAAACTTTGTATCTGCATAAGCTGCAGGTTACATTTAACGTTAAGTTAAATAAGTTGTAAACCAATACTGACAGAGGAGAATGCACTAGTGATGAATACAGTATTACCAAATCTTTCAAAAGGAACAGCACGGTGTCCTTGTTAAAACGTGGGGATTAATGGTAACTTTTAAAGGTTACCATTAAAAACCCAATTGCTCAATGACTTTAGGCAATGCTAGAGAGTTATGTTTTTCAATTTAGAATAATGTACCAAATAATTTGTAATGCCTGCTTAAGAATTTGGTAATACTTGAATAATTACCAGTGGGTTACCATGACCTTCAATTTAGAATCAATTATACATTATGCAATATTCACATTAATTTTGAACCAGGGAGGAAATGTGAATTACCACATTCAACTGAGCACTATTACTTGCTAATTCGTTAATCACAATTTCTTAGTAGTTAATATGTTTAAATATATAGGGCATTATAATTTGTTGTAAGGTGTATGTGTGTAATTCATTAACGATGGAACCGTTTTCTACTAAATCCAATAAAGACACTAAAAGAAGTAAATCTTTCCTTCAGTCAATCCATTGATATTTCTTTGTTTTATTTAAATTAAAAATGAATCATCATCTATTTTCTCTGCCTATGCAGTATTTGATTATAATGACTTTTGAATCTGCACTTTGTAGAAAAGGTCTAAACTGCTCATTATTCTTTGGTTACTATTTACATGTTCATAAAGTTTAGACTCACCTGGAGTTTCTGTGTGTCTTCAGTATGTAAAGAGATGATGTCTTCTGAAGCCCACTGTGTTTCTCTAGTGATATTTATACTCCCATTATTTATGTGGGAAAACATTCTACAGAAATTCA